CTGAGGATCAAGTTCGAGTACAGGAGAAGTTGACGTTTCACCGTATTTTTTGGGCTTTCAAACCATGCATTGACGGGTTTGGGTTTTGCATACCGGTTATTCAGGTATTTTAATACATGTTTACTATTTGAAATGTTTCTATTCTTGCAGACCAAGTAAATTTCATACTAATTACTTCCTAATATTTAATTAGGTTGATGGAACCTTCCTTACTGGGAAGTACAGAGGAACTCTTCTCATTGCCACTGGCGTTGATGGAAACAGGTGGATTTTCCCGCTTGCATTTGCAATAGTGGAAGGGGAGAACAGCTTAAGTTGGGCATGGTTCTTTGACCAACTACAAGAATACGTGACACAGCGGAAGGGTATTACGATTATATCCGATAGACACGCGGGGATTAGGAATGCCGTGGGTGGTTTTCCTGACGAGTGGGGATGGACATGGCGCTGGTGTATTCGACACTGGCTCGCCAATTTCCAACACAAATTTGGAAAGAAGAAAGACATCAAAAATCAATTGTGGCATGCATGTACTAATGTCCTTTAATGCGAGTTATCAATGTGCTTAATAATTTGTTGTTTATCATGTATTGACCATTTCTATATTGTTCACCTTGCAGCAGTTGCACATCAACCAAAAAAGTACAAGCAGAAGATGAAGGCGATCTGTCAGACTCACCGAGCTGGAGTAGTATGTGCTGAAGGTCAAGAATTGGCCATGTGGACGTTCCATATGGACAACGGGGCTAGATGGCGCATTGCAACTACCAACCATGGAGAAGTATAAATAATGTGTACAAGGGCCTTCGAGCAATGCCTATTTCTGTCATAGTGGAGATGTCAATACTGGAAGGTCAACGAGTGGAGGGTGGCTCGGCTGCAGCTACGATAGGGAGGGAGATATCTGATCATCCGATAGCACATGACGTTTTTGAGCAAATGCAGAAGAACGAAGAAAAATCAAGTAAGCATAAAGTTGTTCTTTTCGATCGCAGTGAAGGGATAGTTGCAGTGGAAACAGGTGTATGAGGTGGAGGTAGACGTGGCTACAATCGTCAAACGGTTACTCTGCACTACGAATCAGGGGAGTGTACATGTAAAAAATATCAAAACGAGAGGATACCCTGTTCACATGCAATGGCAGTAGCTAAGTCATTAACCATGAACATAAACACTCTGGTGAGTCCTTACTACACTGAACATGCGATACAAAACTCATATGATGCAGCTTTGAGTCCCATGCCAGATGAAGCGTATTGGCCTATAAACGCTGGGAAGTTGATTATCCCACCGTTGCACCTAAAACGCACTAAGGGTCGTCCTAGAGTTGAAAGGATACACAATGAGATGGATCAAGTTGAACGCACGAGGCGGGGACCGAAGCGATGCTCGAAGTGCAGACAACCTGGTCATGACAAGAGGCGTTGCCCAGGCCAACCACCCCATCATGATGCGGATATAACCGAGGACCAATGATGTACAAGACATCTATCTTAATATTCATTTACTTGTAATGCGGTACTAAATTGTAAGCTTGTTTGAATTTTCATTACCCCGTTGTTTGAAATACTTTTTTAATTTTCATTACCCTGTTGTTCACTCTAAAATATTCTCCTTGTCGATACGATTGCGTAGCCGCAAACGGCTCGTTATTTCGACGTCAAACGAATAAGATACGTTCGTTTTAGTTTTAGGTACGCAAACGTTACTCTAACGACATGTGTAGCTTTGAACTAACTTATCTCACTCGTTTGAACTCGGAATTGAGATCTGTAAAATTCTACATGATCGTGATTGATTTTCCCAACTTTTCATGTTGAGCTTAGATACTAATTCTTGATAAATTGATCCAGAAAAATAAAAATAAAAATGTCATCAATAAAGTGTTTCAATGACAACTTAAGTGCGTATGATAGTTTTAGACAATGCAAACTCAAATCACAAGACCTAAAAATTTTAAAAACAACATGGATAACTCAACGACAATGCAAACTCAAATCACAAGACCGAAAACACTAGATAGTTCACTGGTTTTCTTCATTTGGTTGCCCCTCATTTTGGCCCTCAGCTCGCCCTACTCCTCGTCCTCCACGACGTCCTCGACCCCTTCTTCCACCTCCTCCTTCTGCTTCTTGGCGGGCTCGCTCAACGACTTGTCGTTCGATGTCTCTTAACCCAAGCCCCTATTGGAGTTACAAGTGGCGATGGAGGTTGCTGAGATGGACCGGTAGCCTGCTGGTAGATCGGGCGGTGAGGGGTTTGTTGATGCGGGGTGTGATACATCGAACTCTGTTGCTGATGGTGGAAATGAGAGAAATTTTGTTCACTCTGAGATGAACCTCCAGCGACATCCGATGCAGGTGCCCACTCGTACTCAAATGGTTCAGGGAGCTCGGTTTCTTGAGTTGTACGCACCTCTTCGAAAGTAGGCAGAGGCCTGCGTTTGCTCCTTCGTGGGGGCTCAACCGGGGGCACAATGGGCTCACCATCACAGAATGATGAGCGTGCCGGAGCGAGTATGGGAGGATAGGCCACGACATACCTCCTTTCCTCTCGAGTACAACTCAAGAGGTTGTTCATAAGCCTTCGCAACCAAGAAGTTTTCGGCTCATCCATGCTTGGAGCACTATCGAGGGTGTGTTTGGCGTGTTCCAAACCATCAACCTAAGCAATCCACATAATAAAACAAAATTAATTAAACCTTAAAACAAAATAATTAGAGTCACGCGGGAGATTAGGATGACTTACCAACGAACCCATCACAGCACCTTGCTTTGACACCCATCTATTGGTGAAGAAAGCTTACCGACTCGAAATAGTTGATTATACATAATTCTGCTTTTAGTCTTCCTTTGCAAATTGCTTGCATAGTGTCGCATGCACCACCTCCACTCCCAACCTCTTCCGATGTTATTCATGGCTTCATAGAGTCCTGCATGTCTATCTGAGATGATGCATACATCATTTCGATCAGTCAAACCCTGAACGTGAGTTATGAACCATGGCCAACTATCAGTATTCTCACTCTCCACTATGGCAAATGCAATTGGAAAAATCTTCTTCCGTCCATCAAATGAGCTCGCCATGAGTAGCCCTCCTTTATACTTCCCAGTAAGAAATGTTCCATCAACAACCATAACGCCTGGACAATTTATGAATCCATCTATACTCGGTCCATAAGCCCAAAATACTCGCTGAAATATTGAATGACCTGGTTGAGTCGAAGGAACTCTTACCCAATGAATCACCGATGTTAGCATTTTTCTCTTGACCACCCGCAAGAATGTTTGCAAAAAATCATAGGATTCTTCCCAATTTCCATGCAACTTCTCCAATGCTCTTTGTTTCCCATACCAAGCCTTCTTGTAAGTAACTTGCATATTAAACTTATCTTTCAACTCTGCCTGAACAGTTAGAACACTCAGATTTGGTTGGGCACGTACCAAGTGTTTGACGGCCTCAGATATCACGTCGACATCAAGATGGCGATGATCCGTCGGTTGAGTCGTACTGCTACAAGTATGCACCAACTCGACCTTTCTCACGCTCCAATCGCCTCCCATTTCTCAACATCCAAACCGCACCATCCAAGGACATTTGTCCTCCTTGTGCATCAAACATCTGATCTTCCAGATTGAAGGTGACGACTCCACCACGTTATACTGAAAGTTGCGTTGTAGTGCATAGTGTTTCATCGCCACCTGTGCAGCTTGTTTCGAGTGAAATATTTGCCCCTTGTAGAATTCTCCATCAAAACCACCAACAGTAGACCCTGGAATTACGCCATATGAATCAGCATATGATAATTCCTCGTCCTCTTCATTACCCTACAAGTAAAAATATGGAGGAAAATTAGGTTGTTCTCCTCCCTCCCCGTCGTCGTCGTCGTCCTCCTCCTCCTCCTCATCGTCTTCCTCATCTCCGTCATCACCGTCATCATAATCATGATCGGATGGCATGCTCCATGTGTCATCATCGTCATCATCGTCTTCCTCTCCACCCCGATTCTCACTGAGCTCAGCATGTATCTCAGCACCCAAACAATAAGGATTTTGTGCCATAAAATTCCAAAGCACATTTAAGCTATCATCATCGACAATAGGCATTGCATAATGAAATAAAACACCATTCTGCCATTCTGGAAGACAGTAGGTGAAACCTGTAATCATAACACTATCTTGTACTATTTCGTCTCTAATCCGTATTCTCCGAATTAGATGATCACAAAGTTTCTGATAGTTCACCCTGGATGGAATAGTCATCTGGAAACTAAGACCACCAACAAAATGGACACCCAAATTGTCTTCTACTTTCTCTGATCGCCACCGAACAGCTAGTTCAAATCTTCTAAAATCACTACATAAAAAACAAACTCACTAATTACATTACTAACTAGACAAAATCATTATGATGAATACATGAAAAAAAAATTACGACTTTTACCTGTTATTAACCATCTTCCCAGCAACCAGACAGCAACACCAGAGCTTCTTTCAGAACTTCTTTCAGTTTTTTGGTGATGAAGAACCGAAGGAAAGGTGCAGTATATATGGTGAGGGGTGGTGCTGGAGTGGAACAACATGGCAGCGATAAAGCCCCAGTCTGGGGCGCCATCGCTATTACCTTCTATAAAGCGACAAAGCCCCAGTCTGGGCCGCTATGTTTTTTTTGTTAAAAAAGCACCCAGCGGCGGCGCCTGAGTCCAAGGCTTTGGCGCTTTAGACATATCAAAAAACACAATATTGTTGTAAATACTTCTAAAAACACAATATCCGTGCTAAATTAAAAAAAACAATATTTAGGGAATTAACCCGCAAAAATGCGAAAATGAATATTATGAATAACCTATTTCTACATAACCCTCATCATTTTTATTATTTGTTAACGGAACAAAAATTGTTCATTTAACTCTATTTTATTTTTTCCATACAAATTTGATTATCTTTGTAGTACAAGATGACGTTCATTCTATAAAAAATGTAACACCCGAAAAAATTAATTATATGCGTGTGAGCGGGTACCCATGCGGCGGGTTTACCTAAACTCAAACCCAACCCAACTCGGTGAAGAGTGTAGCGGGTTTAAACCCAAACTCAACCAAACCCGTCAACACGTATTTTATCAGCGTTAACCCGCTTGGATCGGATAAGGTACATGTGAGTTCGGGTTTTGTACTTTTGTTGCCATCCCTATCTTCCTTCCCACATCACACGCACAAAAAAATTCCTATCCCGTAACAATGATGAAATAATTTAATTATTTCATCATTCCACTAATTAATTCGTGTTCATTTATACGAGTATTAAAGTATCTATTTCTAGTATTTGATTAAATTATTAAATTCTCCTTTATCTCTATTGAATTACAACCAATTATTCTATTATCTATTAATTGCTATCTGTTTCTCTCCCCGGGCCAACCATTAACTTCCCTGTTATCATATTTATTAATTAAAAACTAACCTTCCTATTAATTGGCCCACCATTAATCAGTTTCCCTCCAAAACGGAGGGGAGGATGGAACAGTAAAAGTTCCTTTTCATTTTCCGTCCTTTGCCACTGTAGCTTGCTTGGAGAACAGCAGAAAACTTCTAGGGAAGTACAATTCCTTCCCTTTCCTTCCTTTCCCTCCTAAAAGAACAGAGGGTTAGTGGTTTGGTTATGGTTAGTAAAATTACGAGTTCTGTTATTATCAGTTTGGATGCTGAATTATTTATGTATCCATAAATAAGGATGATACATAATGGACTTATTGTTAACCTTGTATTGCTCGACACATGTTCTCAAATTAAACCACATCCCTTGTAAACATATAGATTATACAATGGTTATCTCTGTCATCAGGGGCGGACTTAGGGGGTTTTAGGTTCCGGGATTGGATTGCAAAGAGAGCAGGAATGCTTTGAAGCTATCCAACTCTCGGTGGTAATTTATATATGGACAAAAAAAATATAATTGATAGTGAGGGACACCCCTTCAATTTGAAAAATGATTATCCTACTGTCATTTGTGTATAGGAATATAAGTGGTAGGTTTGACAATTCAAATCTAGAATACTATTATTATTAATAAACTTAATTTCCGTTGAGCTAAACTCATTTGTTGTTCGATTTTGAACAATGTGTAATAGTAAAATGGCATTCCCTATCTCTAATTATTTTAAAAACCTAACAATTAAACTAATTTCAAACTACCCTTAATTTGTATTGATTTTATGATTGTACGGCAAGTGTTGAAAGAGTCTTTCAGCTTTGGGTTATATAGAACAAGTTTACAAATCAAATATGCAATAAGTTCGTGAATGATTGTCTAGTAGTGTATATAGAGACAATTTTTTTATCACTATAAACACCAAGTGTATTCTACAATTATTTTCGAATATGAAAACACATCATGGACTTTTTTAACCTGTACAAGTAAGGTATTTTCATATTTACAATTTTATTTTTATTAATTATTTTTATTTAATTTATTTTTTAAAAGATGACACACCTATGAAAAATTTGGGTTAATACCTTAGTTTGGCCTGAACTATGACTATATAATCAACTTTGGCCCGTGGTTTCAGAAATTAACATGCTGGCCTCAACTATGTAACATATAGACTCAATTGGCCCGACACCTAGTTTGACCGTCAATTTGGATGGTCAACACGTCATGTCATTGTCTCGTCAGCCTAAAAATTATTAAAAAATTCAAATTCAAACTATTTTTTAATTTTTATTATTTATAATCAAATTAAAAAAATAATCAAATTATTTTATATATTTAACATTACACAAAAATAAAATATATAATTTATATAATATTTTTTAAATTTATTAAATTTAATTTGATATTTTTGGTTAATTTATAAAACTTTATCATTTTCAAATATCCCAAAAAATAAAATTTAAATTTTATTTATATTTTTTAAATTTTATTTTTTGGTTAATTTGAAAATGATAAAAAATAGAAATTAGGAAAATAATTTGAATGATTTTTTTAATAATTTTTAGGCTGACAAGGCAATGACATGGCGTGTTAACTAATGGTCAACGGTGTTGACCATCCAAATTGACGGTCAAACCATGTGTCGGGCCAATTGAGTTTATATACTGCATAATTGAGGTCATGATGATAATTTCTGAAACTACGAGCCAAAGTTGATTATATGGTCATAGTTCAGGCCAAAATAAGATATTAACCAAAAAAAATTCTGGGTCCGCCACTGTCATTGATTCAATTATTTGATCTTGGCGCTTATGTTGATTGTTTCTACTGCAGATATAATAATAATAATAAGGTGAAAAGATTGGAGGGAGATGGCGATAGGCAATTAATTAGTCAAATATGCATAGATAAATCAGATGAAGAACGATTAATTACTTGCAAGTTGAGGGATTTTACCTAGGAGGACAAAAAGTAAATACGTAAGAGAGTGGTGGAGTGAGCAATGACGCTTTGGGTTTACGATTCCGCCACGTGTACGGTGGATGGATAGCTCCGACCACCCCCCACTCTCCACTATAAATACAGGGCCGAGCTGAACGTTGAAAAACCATCCCGCAAAACAGAGCAATCAAACAAACACTCTTTGCTTTCTTCTTCTTCTCTAAACTCTCAAACCAACCCAAATAAGAATGTCTTGCTGCGGAGGAAAGTGCGGCTGCGGCTCAGCCTGCAAGTGCGGCAGTGGCTGCAACGGGTGCAGCATGTACCCTGATCTCGCCGAGACCTCCACCACTTCCACCCAGATCCTCATCGCCGGCGTTGCCCCGGTCAGCATGTAAGTTAATTACCAATTCCTCTGCGATCAACCCAACCTTATGATTATTTCCCTCAGCTAATCAAATTAATGTTTAATTGGGTCTGGATTCGTTTGATTGCGCCGCAGGGGATTTGAGAGCTCGGAGATGAGCTTCGGTGCTGAGAACGGCTGCAAGTGCGGATCAAACTGCACCTGCGACAACTGCGGCTGCAAATGAACAAAAAGCCACCACTAATCCTCGCTCGGTCCCATGGTTATTTAATAAACTAAGAAAGTTGTTGTTGGGGTCGGGTGTCTTAGCGCTTGGCCCTGCTGTAAATAAAGAAGAGCCATTGGCAGGGGTTTGCTTCCAAGAAAGGTAGAAGAAAGGAGTTTACTCTTTTTTTCTTCTTCCTTCTCTGTTCTTAATCTGCTGCTGTGGCTGTGGCTGGTTGTTGTTTTAAGTTACTCTGTTTCAGTGTCGTCTGTAAGTCTGTCGTGCTTTGTTTGGGTGTTCGCCGAGCAGTGATTTATAATACTATTGTGTTAAATTTTCCCATTTGGAGATTTCCTTCGTGCCTCTGTCTCTCCGAGTGGATGAATCTGAATGATATTTAAGCGATCAACTAATTCAAGTCGCAAAGAGGCTTAGACCAAATGAGAAAGAACGAAGCGGCTGCTCGACCTGCTTAATCATACACTTAACTCACCTTTTTCTACTGGGAAATAATTAGGCGTTTGTAACATTTTACCCTTCTTTTTGGGTTAATTATACGGTTATGACTGAGATTACAAAAAACGTACATATTTGGTCACTGAAAATATTTAAATTCACTCTTGGTCACTCAAATAAATTAAATGATTCAAGTTTGGTCACTCTCCGTCCACTCCGTTAAATCTTGCTTATGTGGCAATCGACTTTTATAATTGACTGTTAAATATACGATGTGGCAATTAAAAATAATAAAATTAATTTAATTTTTCTATTTTCCACCTCATTTCTAACCGAAGCGAAACAGGAGTTGCAAAGCTGACCGACCGTCACTCCCCTCCCCTTCCGCCGCCGACAACGACGACGCCGCCACCTCCATGGACATCCTCGAAATCACCACCGACCAAATCAACAGCCTGAGAGACCAAATCCTGCGACAACGTTACCAGGCGAAATACAGCAATTATCAGATCCTAACCGCCCACATCTGGCGCGCCGTCATCAGAGCCCGTGACCTTGCCGCCGCCCACATCGGCTCAACCCGATGCTCCCCGCCTGTTACCTCGGGAACTGCGTCTTCCAGGCCGCCCACATCGACAATTCTGCACTTTTGGTTTTGATAGTTTGTTGACAATATGTCTGCGAAACCGGTAACGACGGAGAAGAAAGTTCAACTATTGCGCGATGTTGCATCAGGGTTCTCTATCAAATGGGACTCCACAGGTTTTGAATAGAGGATATCTAGACCTTCTCCTGTCAAGGTTTAGCTCTCTAAATAGTTTCTATGCTGACCTCTCTATCTGGCAGTGAAAACATTTTAGAAATTGTTAAACTCGATTCTGCTTATCAATCCACCTCCCTGTCAATATGTTTTGCAGGCCCAACCTAGAACTTACGGTCCTTCACTTGCTGGCAACGGTAAGTTGGAATTAACCAATGGCAAAGACAACATCAGCCAAGGGGTTAAACGTGATATCCCAACCAAAGCAAGGCAAGAACAAAATCTGAAGATTATTAGCTGGATTCGACTTTCGTTTGAGTGCGCCGATTTCGGGTGGGGCAGGCCGATATTCAATCGGGCGACAAATCTGTTTGAGGGGAAGGGGAATATCTTGCCCAAGTACAGCGTCAACAGAAATATGTCGCTGGCGCTCTGCTTGGATACTTACGCCATGGAGAATTTCAGGAAGACGTTCTACGAAGTGGATGGCTGAAGAAGAAGAAGAAGAAGAGAACAGGGGAATCTGATTCTGGGTTGTGGTTAATTTGCTTGATTCGCGTGTCTTCTAATAACATCTCTCGATTGATTCAGCAATCAACATTACCATCCCATGTTTCGGTTAGAAATGAGGTGGAAAATATATAAATTAAATTAAATTTATTTTATTATTTTTTAATTTCCACATCATACATTTAACGGTCAAGTATAAAAGTTGACTGCCACATAAGCAAAAGTTAACGGAGTTGGACGGAAAGTGACCAAACTTGAACCATTTAACTAATTTGAGTGACCAAGATTAGATTTAAATATTTATAGTGACCAAACATAAACCTTTTTTTAATCTCAGTGACCAACCATGCAATTAGCCCTTCTTTTTGTATGGGTGATAAAAAACGATTCATTGAGCTCAATGAGTAAACTAAATCTAAGCGTCCCTCTCAAGTATAGCTGGAACCATGCAAAACAATAAGCAAACATCACTGATACTTAAATTATAATTGTCGCAGGATTTTTTGTCTTCGTTGAATCAGTCTTCCATTTTATTGCAAATAAAAACGGAGTAGGAATCAAGGCGATCACTTCACTACACACTGATACAACGAGAGGAAGTCCCCAGACCCCAAGGAAGGAACTCCCTGAAAAGTGAAAAACCAACCATCCCCCAACTATACAACTTTAATTTGCTCCACTACTCACCTAAACTTTGACAATCAGCAATCAAAACAGGATAACAATTAATAACAAACTTTTAATCTTGTACCCATAAGCCGGCAACTTGATCAACAGGCCTGGGACGTTCTCCATGGATTCTTCTGCATCGCTCCTGCCAGATGAAGGTGATCGAAGAGCACCATAAGAGACCAATTAACCTTCCCATAGCTGTAGGACGACATGCCAAAGCACCGGCATCAGACAACCTGAGTTCCCAACTACTGCTCCCAAACAAATTCCCCACCTTGCAAACAACAGCTCGAGAATACTAACAAATGAAACAATCAAAGAATAGATGACTTCGATTGTCGCAGGTTTTTACATAAAATAATTGACAATCTTTCAGGGTTATTTGGATCAGTAATTTTGGACTAAGAGAGCTACGAGGAATGAATGTGAATATATAAAAGTCTAACATTGGAGTTATTATTGACTCACACACTCCTTCAAGTGCAAGTGGGGAACTTCCAAGTCCTTCTTTTACTCCACTCACCATTCTACAACTTTTGTGTTTAATTATTGTTCGCTAGTTTTTCGACTTTTCGTCAATAGCTTTTTGCACAAATCATCGTCTTTGTGTTTTATTATTGTTCGCTAGGTTTTCGTCTATGGTTGTTTGCACAATACGATATTAAATAAATGAGCTTCCAAAGATGGCTTACTCGTTTCAACAAACAAACAAACAACAAAACAAGTGATATCATGATACATCAAACAATTTTAAATCGTTAATAATGTAATGTTTTATTAATAATCACTCAAAAATTTGATATGCTTAGCTATAATGATTATTACTTTAAAAATGTATGTCGAGCATGTTGATGATGAAAACGACAGTTGTTACTAACTATTAAAAATGTTACTGACATGGTGCCTTACCATATATCATTAAAAGTATATATCGAACAAAAGAGAAACAATGATGTGTTTATACGATTAAAAATGTAACACGATCTTGGTAATGACATTTTGAATTGTTAATAATGGTTAATGTTTTATTAATAATTCTTTCAAAAAAATTGATAATGCTAGGCTATAATATGGTTATCAATGTTGATAATGCTCCTTAGTCCTTCCAACGATCTTGGTTGTCTCCTTTCAGCGGCTGAATTGTATGCGAAAGGGAACCTCGCTGAAAGCCACTTGGGAATTGGGATGAATAGTTTTGAAAAACTATAAATGAAATTACTATTTAATTATTTAGTATTTTTTTATAATACGAAAATAAGATGGATAATTAATAAAAAGAATATTATGGAGATAATTAAGATTAATTATCTTAATAAATTATATTTTAATTATGAGAATACTTATCTCCCTGCTTAAAATGTGACTTATTCCCAAAGAAAGAGGGAATATTTTGGGTTTTTTCTCCTATAAATAGCAGCCCCCCCAGACTCTCTAAACATACCTCAGAAGAGCAGAAACACGAGAGAGAATTCATAGAGCTAAAAAAAATTAGAATAGTTGTTTTATCCTGGAGGCGACCGGCTGATAGTCTGTTGTGCGCAATGAAGGCAGTGCTGCGAACGTCTTAAAGAGAGCGACCTAGTCCGCGACTCAGCCAGATCGACAATCCTAATTTTTCTGTTCTGTTTCTAACAATTTTAAGACGTTTGATTGCTGTCATTATGTACCGAACAGGATACCGATTCTGGCTTGAGCGATTTACATCGCCCATTGCCTTACCGTGCTTGCCGGCGGTCGTTGGCACCGAGATTGTATTCAATAGTAAAGTGACGCCGTCGTTGAGCAGAAGGAGAAGCCGGACAAGGCTGAGGCGTACAAGCAACTGAAAGTCCACGCCGCTCTGTGCGCTGCCTGGGTCGCCGTCATCCGCTTCAGACGGTTCGAGGGGGAGAGCGGCATCACAATTAAACAAATCCTTCACAAGCATGGTTTGGGAAAAAGATGCTTGCTGGGAATACGCAGACAAGCTAGACGGGAACAAGGTGAATTACCCGCGAGAAGAAGACAACCTTAAGCTCATCCTTCTCCGTGGTGGAGCGATTTGGTTTCCGGATCCGGACCACTGCAATGGAAGCAGGTTGCGGGAATGAATCGGCCAAGGCAAGGAAAGAAAGCCCGGGAGGCTCAATTAATTATCCAACTCCGAACAGCAAAAAGGAAACTTGATTTGAGCCATGCTAAAGATTCTATCTCATGGTTACTCTACTTGTTTTATTGTTATTGTGTGAAATCACAATATAAATTGATCTTACTTTTCTTTTTTTGGGAGGTGACGAAGTCAAGGGGAAGGATGGAAGTAGGGATGGCACCGGGTCGGGTTGGGTTTTGCAAAACCCAAATCCAAACCCATGGGTTTATCCGTGAAAAAAATCCGAAGTAAAATTCATTGGGTTTAAAAAACTCAAACCCAACCCAACCCGCTGGGTATCCGTGGGTTCATGGGTACCCACGGGTTTTTGTCTTAAAAGATTTACATAACAAGTTCCTATCAAAATTAAAGTCAAATATCAATCTCTCAATACAAATTATCCATATATAAAACACCATTATAGAAAATTCAATCAAATCACAAATTAACTATACAAATTGTTCAACACCAATCTAAATCTCAATAAAATTGAAGCAAATCACAAATTATCCATAAATAACATGATTAATTAAAAGCTTCTTTCTTTCAATTAAGTTTCTTCACTCTCCACATCAACTTCATTCTACACAATTAGAAAGAAAAAATTAGACATGTCTCCACAAACATAAATAAGATTAGTTGTTTAAAATAGGTTTAATACACTTGTATATCCAAAAGTATCGCATTTGTGCCAATAATATCCAAAAATCCGGAAATACCACTTATATCCATATTTTAAAGTTGTTCTTTGTCAAATCTATCCACTTCCGTTAAATGCTTTGACGGCGTTAATAACTCCGTCAACATAGCTGACGGCAAGTTGATTGTACGCCAACTATGCAGACACGTAAGCGCCAACTACGCCAAAAGTGCCACGTAAGAATGAATTAAAAAATAATAATTATTTTTTTTAAAAACCTAATCCCACATATTCCCACTGACGACGAACAAGGAGGACGTTTAGTCCCCCTTTCTCCTTTCGTTTTTAGGGTTCGCACCCTGGCGGCGACAAAATCTCCTCCTGCCGACTTAGCCTCCTCCAAGCGATTTAAGATCATCCCGCCGACTGTATATACTCCCTGGGATTGAAGATCCTCCCGCCGAGTGAAGATTTCGGATTCGTGGTTTCTGGCGATTTGGCGACTCCTGCGATTCTGGCGGATTTGGCGATTGGCGATCGGCGACCCAGATTCACGACAAAAGCTATTTGAAGACCCAGCTTTCCATTTGTCGTAGGTGATTAACTTCTTTGTTGATTCTCGTCTCTGCATTTGAATTCAGTCGACGTCTCGCCAAGTCGAAGAAATGTTCTTCTTCAACTTCGACACAAGGTCATGGGGTGGTAGTTTGCAAACACAACGTGGCCTGTGTGGTTAATACCTCTGGTACGGAAATGAACCCAGGCAGGCAGTTCTATGGGTGCCCATATTGGAAGGTAAGGTGGTTTTTGGTATTTGAGGTTGCCTTTGATGAATGTGTTTTTTGAGGTTGCCTTTATGGTGCAGAACGAGAAAAAGAACTGCGGTTTCTTTAGGTGGGTACATGGGATAGTTGATGAAGTGGATGAAGAAACCTCTACTATTGGGAGTTCTCAACTGAAGCTCGAGGAAAATTTACGGATAGCCGAGTCAAAAGCGGAAATGAGGAAGAAGGAGAAGAGAATTTTGGTTGAAGAGTTGTCAAGGTTGATGAAGACTCAAGAAGTTATGTTGGATGAAGGAAGGAGATTGGCTTATGACATCCGTCTCATCCGATATCATTTCACAGTGGTTGTTGTAGTGAATTTCATATTGCTTGTTCTTTTGTGGCAGCACCAGTTTGTTATGTAGAAGTAGTTGTATTGTACTAGGTTTGCTTCCAATTGAAAGGTGATTGTTGTATCTTAGATGAGATGTTAAACACAAGGGAGTTGTGGCAGCACCAGGTTTGCTGTCAATTGTAGTTGTTGTAGGTTGTCATGTTTGAATTTGAGATGTTAAACACAAGGTAGTTGTGTTATCTTTCTTAAATGAGTTAAATAGTTTAAGTTGTTGTAGTTGATGAGCTTCCAAACATGAGCTCCAATCTGAGATACTAAATAGTTGTTCATTACAGAGTAGTCTAAGATTCGGAAGCCTAAATAGTTGTGCATAATTACATAGCATCCGATAATAGAAATCGGCCATTACACTAGTCAGCTAAACAAAAGGACATCTAGTGAGGTAGCTTAATGGCCTATCACAAAAAATAACTTGTTTGTGTATAATTACATAGCATCCGATAATATAAATCGGCCATTACACGAGTCAGCTAAATAAAATGACCTCTAGTGAGGTAGCTTAATGGCCTATCACAAAAAATAACGCCTTTATCCGTCTAAGGTTGAGTGTTGGGGGGCTGGCTACCATGCATATCGATCTCAGTGGGTTGAGAGCCTCGAACTGGTCGTCCTTGCGCGCCATTGAGCTGAAACCATGTCATGTTAAAATCAGCTTTTGTGCATACAACAATAACATGTTCTATTCATTATTGTGAAAGCAGGTACTCACTCTAACGTATTGGTTACCGGTAGTCTCGTTAACATATACTCCTATTCCGGTTGTGGCAATTCGTAACTCGCGTTGAATCGTTATTCGGTCGCTAACATTGAGTCTAACATCCTATGCAACCATTCCATATACTTTAGCATGTTAAACCGAAATCATAGCATACATAATTAATCATTCATATAGATAGCTTACTTGGATTCCAACCCCTCGATTTAGAGGACAGGTTCTGACGTTATGATCAACCGAGCCACATTTGGAGCAATGGCCAACACGAGTTCTCCGAGTTGCAGGAGCTGTGTTTCTTGGGGTATCATTGGCTGGTCGCTTTCCCTAGTACTCCGGGTGTTGACCTATGCAAACAATAACGAACATTTGTTAGTTTAGATTCAACAATTTGAACACACAAGATGTGAACTGGATAAGATTAGGAGTAAGTATTACCATGCCTTCTCCATCGCCCATTTGTTAGTTTAATATCCTATTTTCCCAGGAAATGGGAGGATCATGATAATCGCTTAAAACCTCATTTCTTAGACGTGCATCTATTTATAAAGAGTCGAAGTAAGTGGTGCTATGTATTCGCTTAAATTATTGAAAACAACCAATACGATTAAATTATTTCAAATATATTTTATATTCCACTAAGTACATTAGCAAAATAAAAGAAGGACAAATGATAAAGAATTGTATGTACCTCGTGATCGTTCCAAACATCCCTTAAATGATGTTTGGGTTGGTCGTACAAGTTTGTTGGATCAATAGGTCCTTGATCCAAATAATAGCGTTGGTTGTATATATCCACGTTGTCCCCAACCTACCATAGAATAACAACAATCGTTAGTACATATAATAATTAAAAAGCTTATAAACACATCAAAAATTGACCAGAATAATGAGTACGTACCGCTTGAAATTCATCATAATAAACTCTCTCTCCTTGGAATCACTCGTCCATTTTTTCGCGAAAGTCGGACAGAAATTCGGCGGGTTTTTAGGGGAAAATCAAAGAAATGTTTTATGATAGCAGATCGAACTTAGCCGCAACCAACATACCACTATTTCCTAGACTTTTGGGAGTGGATAGAGAGATAATTTTAGAGAGAGTGAAGAATGGGTTCTCAAAGAAACCTCACCCTCCCGATGCATTCTCCGTTTCTCGAGGCGGTGACCGCACCTGCCAGTTGCGGTCTTCGATCCATGGCGCAAATCGTTGAGGTGGTGTGCGGTCCGCCGTTGGATCGCCCCCTTACCCAACGGTCTTGAAGGCCGCTCACCAGGAAACTCAAACCGCAGCTTCCTAGTGCGGTTCCCTGGCTAATGTGGCGAAGACCACATCTCCAAGTTGCGGTTTGATAAAAATGATACTATTTTTATAATTTTTATGAGCTGGGTGCTATTTTTGTAAAAAAAAAAAATGTGCTGTTATTAGAAAAATCTCACGAGAAGCTGATCGCCGCAGCAAACAGTTGTACATTCCATGTGAATATCTGATTCTCATGCCAGTTTTCATATATATCTTGCTACGAGAAGCTGCTTAAACAACCAATTTATCGAGACATGTTCAAATTTCTGTTTCTAGAGCGGCAATGAGAAGAGCAGCAAGGAACATAAAAACGTCTTACATCTTCCAGTGAAAGAGCACACTTCTTTTACCTAGGGGACAGCCGAAAACATAAGAAGAAAACACCACATAACACAAGAGAAGCAGATATAAAATTGTCCAAGTGTTCATAAAATTGATAACTCTCTCTGGGATGTGTATCCACAGAACGGCTTTCGCCTCCCCAGTCTCCACTAGGGGGATCTTCTAGTAGTATTCTTTTCCCGGTTGGTTTCTAAAAGGGATCTACCTAAAAGTAAATAGAGATCTGCGGGATGTCAATGTCGTTCTCCTCATCATCTTCACAAGCAACCACGACGTCAAAGTGGCGTCGGTAAGGAGGCAGCTCAGCACGCGCAACTTCCCGAGCGAGATCAACCATTTTCTTATCCATTCGGTCTCTGTGCCTCGGGAACATGCTGTTGTACAGCAGGCAGCTTCCGTAAGAGATACTGTAAGCGTTCAACCCCTTCTCCTGCAGCCACTGGAGAAGCTCCTTGAGAGTTGGATTGTTCTTCACAATCCATCTGTCCCACACAGTCCAGCTCATCTCCTGATGCTTGATCACCTTCGGTGGTACCGGCTCCGCAATGGAGAAGAGAGGGAGGGCTAGATTGGCGAAGCTGTTTCTGTAGTCCTCCAGCTTGTGCTGTGCATCCAGAACTTTGTAAAGCTCCAGGCAGACGAGACCGGTTGCCATGGCGGTGGATGTTGCAATTGCTGGTATGATTCTGCCGGCAATGAACTTGGCCTTGAGTTTGTCCACTTCTGGAATGCCATAGTTCCTTGCCCTCATGTTGGCCAGTCCAGCTATCAGGTCCATGTGATAATTTGTGTCATCATCCTACAAAGGCCAACATTTTCCAAGTTTTTGACAAGGTCAGCAAGTCAACACAACATAGAAACAAGGAACCTTACAGGAGCAGCAACATCTAAGCAGGATGCCACGACCATATTCAGATCTCATATTCAAAAGAGATGTTTCACTACCATTATCATCTAGTGCACTGTATGTAATAACAATATATATAACGTGAGTGAAGTGAAATGCCATGGACAAGGATCCAATCGGAAATGTGCAAGCCGATTCCAAAATATAGCCCATTCCAAATGCAGCAAATGTGGAAACCAGAAGGTAGATCACCAACAAGTTTGAATTGATTGCATGAGAGCGAAGAATCTAACAGACCTTTTCAAATTGAATGGGAGCCATCTTGAATCCAGGCTCTAGCCGCTCCCTGCATGTTTCCAACTTCAAAACCAGCTCATCGATAGCTTTTGCATCATCGATTGATGAGGTAGGAACATTTGTTGCTTTCTCGTCTGTTTCAATCTTCACACCCTTCTTCGGCTCAAAATCTGGGACTATGACTCTGTTAATAGCATCAGCTATCTTGGCCGGAGCCTTGAGCCAATCAGGCAGTGGAATCCCAAAGATCTCTGCACGTAAGATGGCTGCAGCCATGACAAAATGTAGGTGGCTCATATCATCAGTCGAGAACTGAAGAGGGCGAGGGAAACGCTTGGGAGCAGACCAGAACGGGGTTCCACTGCTTGTTAATGCATCTTCAGGAAAAGTAAACGTCAGCTGTTTCACACGGTTGACAAAGTAGTCCTCAAATCTGCAAGTTGAAACATACATGTAATGTAAGGTAGTTAGAAGAGATGTAAAACAATCAGTTTTGCTGAAATAAAATCCAATAGACAGACAGATTCGAATGTTTACTTCAGACGGGCCCAAGTGATGCAGTCCTGGAACTCTACGCATCGCTCCTTCTCAAGGCATTCAAGAACACGTTCCAAGTTGTCCTTTGCCTGGGCATCACCAGCATTTTTCATTGCAGAGGCATACTCTTTGGGAGCTGACAGGAAGGCATTTACCTCTGCAGGAGTCTTCTCAAGCAAACCCTCAAATTCAGAACGAGCCCATGTCAAGCAGTGGTCTATGTTGTGAGGGAATGAGTGAACAGTGCACATTGGGGCTTGCTTTTCAGGCGGGTCACGTGAGGCACCATAATTTTCTGTCAGATGTGGGATGACCATTTGAGTGTTGCACTTCGCACCTAGGGTTCCAGACTCAAGAAGTGGCTTCTGGAAGTACAAGCATCTACCATCAATGTAAAGCCTAGCATTCACATTGTCAAGGGCATTGATCACCACAGTCAGGTTCTCCCAGAATGTATCATCAAACACAGATTCAGTTTCAGGACTTGCACGGTTCTGCAGAGCTTCAATATTGAAATTAGGGTTTATCAGAGATGCAGCAGACGCAGCAACAGTTGATTTGGCTTGTCCAATGTTCCAATCTCGGAACAGGAATTGCCTGCTAAGGTTACTCTTTTCAATAACATCATCATCCGTAACTGTGAGCTTCCCTTGCTTCCCACATGAGACCCCCATCAAAGCTAAGTTCTTCAAAAACTCACAACCAAGGGCACCAGAGCCCACAATAAACACTTTCGCATCTTGGAGCTTCTTCTGAAGCTTTGCCCCAAAAACTGAAATTTGAGCATCATAACGACTGTTTAAGGGCTTCAAGTCATTGGGATCCAAGGGCTCAGTTGGAAGAGACTCAACCGAGTCGAAGTAAAAAAACTGTCCACATGACATGCAAAAGAGTGCAGGCAAGTCAGTATGTGTAACACTACATCACTAGAAAGAGACAGAAACTGCATTCAAGGATTATCTGAAGTTAGTACCAAGGCTTACCCTCAAGCAAGAAATATAACTTTTAAGAAGAGAAGGGGGTGAAATACATAAATTACCTGGAATAGTGGGTGGAATTTCCCAGAGCAAGCCTTAACAACTTCCTGTCCAACTATACCACCAAACATGGCAGCCATAGGATTCAGTACAGCTCTTGCACCAAAAGCAAAATGGCGAAGAACGTTTTTGTCGATTGCTTCAAGCTTCTCATCACCAGCATTATCATTGATACTATTAACCAATGATATGAATCTCTGGGCATCATCCTCTGACCCAGCAACTGGATAACGGCCCAACTCAACAACAAACTTATCCAGTGCCAGGAATGCCAAGTGCAAGAGAGGCGGACGATCAAACTTGGAGAAGTCGCTCAAAAGGAAATCCCCAGGTTGCTTGATTGCATCTCGCAAAGTCTTAAAGCTCAAAACCTTTGGTTGCTTCACTTGAGTGACAATGCCACCTTTGATATAGGTAGAATAATTCGTTGTGTCCTCCTCAATGTTAAATGAATACGGTCTGGCATTCTTAACCTTCCTTGGCTTTCCATCATTGAGTTCACTCATGCCATCGACCTCCGAGAAAACAACTAAATCACCATCTTGAAGCTCCACCCTCTCATCATCAACACAAGCTATAAGGGCAGGGTTATCATTGCTGATAGAAGCAATAATGCCCGTATGAGGATCCTCGCCATCAACATCAAAAACAGTGAATTCAGGGCCGAAGTCACAGAACACACTACCAAAGAGGCCCCGGACTTCAGACTTGATAAAAGCAATGGGAGGTTGATGAGTGTGGCAGTAGTCATCAAATTCAGTTGCCTTGTCTACGCTGAGATCAGTGAATACAACAGCCTGAAACCATAAACAAACCCCTTCTATTGGTAACAGCCTATATCTAATATTGGATATCAGCTCATGCACGAATATGCAACAGGAATGACCTTGCGAATAAAGTATCCTCCGTTTAGTAATATAACTGAAAGCATTTAATTCTCAAAATCATTCCAATCTAAGAGAAGCATCATCAAAAGGACACAAAGAACCATTACCTGAAAATCAGATAGTTGTTCCTTCTTGAGTGGGCCAGTTAAAGTGGAAATCAAAACGGAGTTGTTTAGTTCTTGTAGCTTCTGAATACAAGCAAGAGCCCTGTTCTTTCCAACATCTTGTTCTGCAAAGACGAAATTGCTAGACAAGTCCCACAACTCAACCACTCCTTCATCATGTAAGGTCACAGACTTGACTCCAGCAAGAGCCAGGTTCTTCGCTGCAAGAGACACCACAAAATTATTCAGTCAATGAGTTCTTATGAGCCCTAGATGATGGCAATAGTCAATGCAGCCAAAATCTCTATGTTTAACAGGTGTACAAGACCAATAATGTGGTACAACATCTTGATCAGCGCTAAAACAGTTACAGATAAGATCAAAATCAGTAATCAGGCAAAGATGATAACAAAATTCAGTTCCCTAGGGCACTAGCGACTCCATCTACTGGAAATACGGATAAATTAGCATGCCTTACTTACCAATCTCAGCGCCAAGTCCATTCATCCCGGAGATGAGGACATTGGAAGCAAACAGCCTTCGCATAGTCTCGCGGCCGTAGACGGCAAGCTGACGGCTGTGCAGATCCTCATCGATATCTTGCTGATTTCCGTTTCCTAGAGTCATGATCGACGAGCTGGTGTTGCTGTGACTGCTGGCGTTGCCTGAGTTACTGCTGTTGGTGTTGACGTTGGCCGCGGTGGTGGCGGTTGCTGGAGATCCCGTGGCTGCAGCAGTTGTTTCGATGCAGTGCTTCTTGATGAGCGATTCGTTATAGATAGGTCTTCCTTCTCCTTCTACTGCAACCTCTCCTCCACCAGCTCTCTTCCGAGGAAGCATAAAGAAAGGTGGACTATTCACATAATTAATTTCCATCCAATCAACGACAGAATTATCTCACCAGTAGGAAAAATGAAGCTAAAAACACGCAGCTAACCATCAAAACAATTAATGCACCGATAGAAGAAACCCTAGAAGAAGCAGAAGAAGAAGAAGAAGAATATAGAACTGGAACGCGAGAAGGCAGCTGGAAACAAACAAAATAGTACGAAGCGGTTGATTTTCTTAGAAAATTTTCCTCCGAGCTTTCTCGCCTATCAAACAGAGCAGCTAAGAGATTGCTCGGGATACCTTACTTAAGGAAATAAAAAGAGCTCCGATGACAGAGAGGCATCGAATATTATGCAGAAAAAGGGAGGAAACGAACATACCGAGAAGAGCGAGGAAGCAATCGGATCGGTCGAGAAGGAGTGAGAAAGAAGAAGGCTTACAGATTTTGGGGCGATTGCTTTTAGGGTTTGGGAGGGAACGTGACCGGAGAAATGAGGAGGTTCAGGTCGGTGGGTTCATTCTCGGCTTTTTGTAGAGGAAGAGAGTGATAGAGAAGGAACCAAGGGTTGTGGGAGTGGAGACGGGAAAATGAGGCATAGACGGGTTGGGTCTTTGGGGCTGGGGGCTGGGGGCTGGGGATGCCTCAACCGGCTCAACGTCAAGGGCTTTTTCTTTTTTCCAAATGCAAGCCCAGAGTGTTTAGGACACGCAACTCAATTACAAATATTGTTTGGTAGACATAGACACGTAGACGTAGTTATAATTAGAGGTATGTGGTATGGATTTGGTTATTTTAATCGCCCGATTCATGTACTATGGTTTGGGAAATATTAAATTCAAATCCATACAAAAAAAATTAAATCCTACGATTTGTTTTTAATTGGACTGGTTCGAGTTGGCGATATTTTTAAGTAAAAACCCTAAACAAAATATGTAATTATTCTACCAATTATGTCCTTACCTTTTTATTTGTGTTGCTTTTTTATATTAAAAACAAAGGCTAAAGTGACATTTCATTCAAAAAGTAATATAACTTATTTAAATAACACAATAAATATCATAAAAACCAAACAATATAAACTACAGTACACCAATTTCCGTATATACATATATATTATTATGCATGCATTGATGACAATACATCTATTTAACTGACACCAATACCAAACGACTCCTACAAAAGCGGTAATTCGTATATAAGTGGATTCCTCATAAAAGAGTATGATTTGTCATTACATGGGTTGCTTTGTTAAAATTCCGAGGAACAAAACGACACGATAGTTGCTCAAAAAGAGAGAAAAAGGAGTGAACTTCCTCCGAGACAGCCCTTGCTCGAGAATGCGTAGCGTTCTTTGACAAAAAAAAATGGTGATTGCATTTTGTGGAGGACAGGGCCTCTTTGGTTTGGACTTGGCATACTCCCATTAACGAAAATTTTGAGAATTGGTTCTTGCGGGTGGAGTTGATGTTCTACTATGCGGTTGTAAATTTAGAGATGGTAAATGAATTGATTTATGGAGTGATGAATTCATGTAGCTATGTTTGACAACAAGGGGTTAAGGAGGGTACAAGTTGATGGGTAAATTGTTCGGAGTGCAACTTGGTGGAGGGTGCTAGTGGAAGGGTAAATTTTTGTTTGGATGAAAAGGTAGGGGGTGCAAATAGAATGAAAAGTAAGTAATTATATTATTATAAAATAGATTTATCAAATTTATAAAATATTATCACAAAATGGTATAAATAAAAATTAATATATACTAATAATTATATTATAATAAGAATAGTTATACTATAATAAAAATAATTATTATATAATAATGATCAAATGATAATTAATTATAACAACACTAATAATCATTGGTCAAGCGACCTCGAAATTCGAAACCCAACTCGTAACTGGTCATCTTAAGGGGATTCTCGTGCCTACCTTCAAATTGAATATGGTCAAACTTAGTCAAACAAGTTCAAATCTGTAAGTTTTAACTATTTAATCAAGTAAACCGAGTAAACTAAACCGGTCATCTCTATCTTTTCCACAAATGCTTCTTATCTTATCTCTAATTTTCAATGCAAATTCGAGTCAACCAAGATATATCAGTTTGACTAGACGAACATTGACAAACTTGCTATTGAAGTCAAACGGTCATCCCCAAACAACGTTTACATTAATGATAACTATAAGAAAAAGTTAATAATATGAATTATTATATAATTGTAATATAATTAAGAAAATCATTAATTTCCTCCCTCCTCTTCCTTCCTTTCTTCCCTTGCACCCCAATTCAGAGGGTAAGCCAAAATAGTGAATTCCCACTTCCATTTGCACTCTTCCCAAATATAGTGTACATATTCATGGATACAAGTGTATTCTAAATTAAAGATGAGAATTTATGTCATTTGGATTGTACCATACCATATTGATATAATTTGCTCCGACCATATTTCAATTGGGTCGCACTTGCATGCTTGACTGCAATGTTATTAATGAAGTCAAACCAAACCGCATATATTAGCGATTTTGTACGGTTTAGATCATCACATATTTTACTACAATCTGTTACCCTGTGTTCACGAAAGAGGGAGAAATGTTTTTGGAGAAAGTGAAAATTTGAGGGTAGTGACATAATGATGGCTAACTGGTGTTCAAAAGCTCTATACACGAAAGAGGGGGAGAAAATTGTGGAGGGGAAGGAAAATTTAGAGGGGTGAAAATTTGAGGATAGTGAAATACGAGAGAAAAATGGCTTATTCAATCGGGTAAAATACCTTGGATACCATTTAAATATAAGAATTGAGAGAGCTATATCACTTAAATAAGAATAGGGCATCGGAGACCACTAACGTCACTGAAATGTGCATCCATTTAAAATTCCGTCTATCTACCGTTAGTAAAGAATAAAATATTATTTTTGGTAAAACTAATACAAAAAGAAAAGAAAACGAAATCGAAAAGAAAACGAAATATATCCATCCTTCTCTGCCTCTGTCTCCAAACCCTCACCACCGCGACGCCGCCCACCGCAGGTGCTGCAACTTTTCCATAAGAAGCATTGTTCGTCTCTTGTCCTAATATCCCCTTGCATTGAAGCTTTGATCCATTCCCTCTCCATTTCATCTCTTTGGTCCCCTAGCATTGAAGCTTTAATCCACTCCCTCTCCATTCCATCTCTTCGGCACCATTCTGTCTTGAACTTGTGGAAACAGGAAGAATTACGAAAACAGGAAGAAGCCTGATGTTCATCATCTTCGCTCATCCTTTGGAGGTTCTATTTAGGAATTTTCCCCTAGTTTGGGAAGGTTGCATCTTGAATTCCACCTGCCAGATTGTAGAAATTATAGGAAGGAGGAAATGGGGAAGGGTTTCCACAGCAGCAAAACAGCTGGGAACCCTGATATTTATATCAAAAGTAAAGTAGGGGTTTACAACGTTCAAATCCAGTATACTGTTAACCACAACACGTGGCAATCACTGATAGGCTAAAAATAAACTAACAACACTTATTTAACGGTCACTACTGATACGACGACGTCTTCACGAGGGCTTGGCTGAAGTCACGAAACGTATCCCATACTGTGAATCGTCTTCAAGCCCAGCTCCCGTTTTGGATGTCTGCAGAAGGGTCTTCGTGTTCCAGCAACTCGGATTTCCCTCTCTGCATCTTCTCTTCCTACTTGTTCCAATCGATAGCTCCTCCATTCTGCTTCAACACGCCCCCACAAGTTGGCGCGTATATGTTAATTACGCTCAACTTGCTAAGTAAATAAGTAACATGATAACGAGTTAAAGCCTTGGTAAACAAGTCTGCAACTTGTTCTTCACTTCTGACATAGTTCAGTTTGATCAAACCTGATTTCACTCTTTCCCTTGTAACATGAACATCTATCTCAATGTGTTTAGTACGTGCATGGTACACATGATTCTCTACTATTTGGAATGCAGACATGTTATCACAAAACACATGAACAGGAGTTGGCAATTTCACATCTAACTCCTTCAATAAGCTTTGAAGCCACTGAATTTCACATACTAGGTGAGCTAGCGCTCTGTACTCTGCTTCAGACAATGATCTGGAAACAGTAGTCTGTTTCTTTGCTCTCCAAGTAACCAAGGATCCTCCCAAGAAGGTACAGTATCCAGAAATTGATTTCCTTGTGTCTGGACATGTTGCACAATCAGCATCACTGTAAGCTTTCAAAACCAAATTATTATCTGATTTAAAATGGAGACCTTGTTGTAACACCCCACCCGAAAACTCATGGGTCGAACCACTGGTTCACCCGCACAACAGAAAATACTAACGGGGTTTACGTATTAACTCATCATTCAATAAATATACATCTTTCTTTTACTAAACATAACTCGAGATGAACATATATATATATATATATATATATCAAATCGAACACATTTATTAATATCCAATCTCGTTTATTAAACATACAACATCCAATTCATGACATCAAATCCAAACACTAGTTCGTTGAAACCCAAATCTCCATCTTACATACTTTGGTACAATCCATAAATCATAATAACTCAGTCGATCAAATTCAATGCAATCAAACTCAACATAACACATGTTTATGATACTTGTTTTAAAACACAAAGCATAAGTAAAAACTCTCCTCCGACCAATCGTCTGCTACCTCATGATGGAGTAGAAGTTGCACAGCTTCGACGTCCAAGCTCAGTTCCTCTGCTGCGGATCTGAACACAAAAGGGGAGGGGGTCAGCTAACTAATTTAGCTGAGGTGTGGCGATGTTCCCTCCTACACGGCGAAGTCTATGGATACGTTTTCCACATCAATTGATTAACCACCTAATCATGGCATCTAGGTTGAAGTCTCAACCTAATATAATTCTCAACCTAGAATCCAATATCCAGACAATATGCAAGTGCAATGCATTTCCATTTTATTAATTTGGGCGCCAATGTCACCATACATCCACCCCCGCTCGAGCCTCATCATCTCAGTGGTTATATCAGAAACCACAATCATATCTCTCTGGCCACTGGCCTCATCGATCCTAATAATCGTCATTAACAATATCAATTGGTTGGGGGTAAATGCAGGCCCTTTCTAAGTCTATGTGATTAATATGAACATCATATAAAATCATCATTCTCGTCATAATCCCAATATAATAATCATCCATCTCAATCGATCTTGGTGTAATTACCAAGTCTATGCCTTATGGTAAATTGTACATATCATGCATACTAAATTCGTCAAATTATCCATTCAATCATCGAGTAGAAATTCATTCGCAAACAATATCGTTATCGTACATTCAACGTATAAGGTGGCCGGTTTGAATCCTCGTACATGGTTCGTTAACCATTAATCGGTGAATATTACCAAGTAATTTGAAAGGCGGACCCGCCGTGGTAAAACTCCGAAAAGAGGAATGAGTGCCACTACTCGTAGTACACTTCTTACAACCATATTCCCAAAAGATTTCACCGGGTGAATTCCCAGGTAAGTGGACGAGTACCACGAAGGTCTCGATTAAAAACCACTAGCCTAGACAGAATTCTCCCATGGTAGCTGTCCATTATTCAAATTTTCACGAATCCGATTGTGGTTTAACAATTATCCCAAGTAATCGTATAAGGATAATTATTCAATCGCAGGCGTAATTTCACATAACTCATGGCCTGATATCACGTCATGAATTATTGAAATAAATACAACGAAGTCTCAAGGAATTTCACGATTCGTAGGGATCAATTACAAAATCGTAAATTCCAAATACTCGATTATGAATCATCCAATTCTACTCGAGTACCCAAATCATAATAACGACATTCTTCATTTTATCTTCGTTAAATCCTCAGCTATGTTTCAATATTAAACATATAGCACGTAGTAAAACACCGCCTATTCACCGCTGGGTCCACACACCTTATTTATGACGTAAATCAACTCTGCACAGCTGTTGTAAAAATTCCAATACTTCTTGATAATATTCTCCTCGTCTCTACGATCCTGTAGGCGAAAACGGTTCGTCGTTTGGACGTCGAACGAACGAATTACAACCAAAATACGAATTCTGTCAGTTCTCGAAATTCCAAGTACTGTAAATAAAATTTTCCAGTCAAACAGATCGTTGACCCTTCCCATGGAAAAAGTCCGTCCAGGTCCTCAAACGTTTCGATTTGACAGAAACAGTACCTGATTTTCAGAAACTGACAGTTCTACGTGGCCAGCTTGCGAGGCTCGTTTCTCCCTCGTCCGACGTCGAAAATTGATTCCGTCGAAACGTGCGTGCTCCTGAGATCGTCCTCTTCGTAACGGTACCAACCACTCACAGAATGGTTGAGGTCGGAGTTGACGTCGTCGCCGTCACGGGAAACTCCGAAACTCCGGCGAGGCTCCGACAAGGCTTCAACGATGCTTCTAGCTTCGTGGGAGACCTCCCCAGACCTCTATGGCAACCCTCCCAATCCAGAACACTCAACTGATCCTCACTTTGCTAGGTATCTTCTTTCCTTTGGATGATACGTAAGGTAACCCATGTGACCTTCCATGCTTTCTATATATATATATATATATTACCAAGTCTCACAACTGGCTGAGTCTCTCTCCCTTCAGTAACTCTCCATGTAATTGGTAGCTCGATCTGCAGTTTTTGTCTCCAAATAATTGAACATTTTTATTAGTTATTTCCCACCGGTATTGCCCGACCATTCCTTCCTTTAATAGGCTGTGAGCGGTGGAGAGTGAGACCATGCCCATCATATAATTCCAACCCCTAAAATATACATATAGGTGGGTAGGAGACGTGTTCCTCTTTTCTTCCTCTCATCTATGTACATAAAATATAAGGAAATGAAGTTTGATATTAGGTGGGTGGGTGCATGCATGAGAAGCTTTCTTAGTACGTAATCTAGTACGTTTTCTCATCGTATCTCGTAGCCCTTTTGGTTTTGGCGTTGAGTCTTCGATTATGCTTGGGAAAACATTATTCCATCTATCGAACCAAATTGATTTGAATTAATATCCCAGGTTTGGGATGTTACAACTTGTCCTGGTGATCCTTTCAAATATCTAAGAACTCTGTATGCTGCTTGTAAGTGAGTATCCCTTGGTTCAACTTGGTATTGACATAGCTGCTGGACAACATAGGCTATGTCTGGTCTTGTCACTGTCAAATAGTTCAATCTCCCAATCAGACGTTTGTAACACCCTGGATCATCAAGAAGCTTTCCTTCTCTTGCACTGAGCTTCACCTTACAGTCAATAGGACTCTTGCAACTCTTAGAATCTAGATATCTTGTATCTTCTGACAGATCCATGCAGTACTTCCTCTGGCAAACAACAATGTCAGTTGCATTTCTACTTATCTCAAGACCTAGAAAGTACTTGAGCTCTCCCAGATCTTTGATTTTAAAATCTCTCTTCAGGAATGTTTTTATTGCTTCCAGATCTCCCAATCTTGGACTTGCCAATATTATGTCAAAAACATAAACAAAAACAACTACAATTCTTCCTTGAAACCATCTGATAAACAATAGAATAATCAGAGTTAGATTGAGAAAATCCATTTTTCAGCAGTGTTCCAGTGAGTTTAGCAAACCACTTTCTACTGGCTTGTTTCAAGCCATAGAGGGATTTCTTCAGTTTGCAAACCAATCCCTTTGAATCACCTTCAACTGGATAACCTGGAGGTAATTGCATATAAAACTCTTCTTCAAGATCTCCATGGAGAAATGCATTGGAGAAATGCATTGGAGTTGGAAAGATAGGGAAAGTATCTTCTTGTTGTGTTTCATTTGAGACTTCTGAATCACTGTGTTTGAAAAGAAATATGTCCTCATAGAATATCACATCCCTGGAAATGAGAAACTGATGTGAATTCAAATCAAACAATTTATACCCTTTAATCCCAGTGGGGATCCCTATAAAGATACATTGCTTTGCTCTAGCATCTAATTTGGTTCTTCCTTGTGCAGGTGTGGTGGCATAGGCCAGACAGCCAAACACCTTGAGGTTGCCAAGGTAAGGAGGAATGTGATATAGGATCTCATAGGGTGATTTGTTGTTAAGGATAGGTGTGGGTAATCTGTTGATTAAATACACAGCGTGAAGTACACAATCACTCCAAAACTCAAGAGGCACACCTGAATGAAATCTCACAGCCCTAGCAACATTTAAAATGTGCTGGTGTTTTCTCTCTACCCTCCCATTTTGTTCAGGTGTGTAAATACAGGAGGTTTGGTGTTCAATTCCATTGTTCAAATAGAAGTCACACATGTAAAATTCCTTTCCTTGATCACTTCTAACTATTTGGACTGATTTAGCAAACTGAGTTTGAACCATAAAACATAAACCAGTCAGTAGTTGTCTAGCTTCTGATTTTTGTTTCATCAAATAAATCCAAACTGCTCTAGAATGATCATCAACAATGGTAAGGAAGTAATGGAAACCATCATGTGATTGTATGGACAGTGGACCCCAGATATCCACCTGAATGAGACCAAAAACATTGGAAGCAACATTGTCACTGGGGGAGAAAGAGAGCCTTTTCTGTCTAGACAAATGACAGTGCTCACAGTGTTTAACTTGTTCTATAGGAATAGAAGGAATACATTTATGAATAAGCTGAAATATACTCTGACTAGGATGACCTAAACGCCAATGCCATAGATCAATCTTCTGAGGTTCAAAGTTGTAGATAGAGGCAACTTGAGAAATAGACGGGCTCTGGTTTTGGTTTGATGGTAGAATGTGATAGAGACCCCTACTTTCTGTCGCCAAACCAATCATCTTGGTTGTGATGAGGTCCTGAATATGGCAAATGGCAGATTGGAAAAGAAGTGAGATGGGCTGGTCACGAGTTAACTTACTAACTGACACTAGATTGAATGTGAAACTTGGAACATGAAGAACATTGTGTAGGAACAAATCATTTGTGAGCTTGACTGACCCTATATGACTTACTGGAACTTTAGATTGATTAGGCAGATACACAAAAACATCATTTACAGGAAAGCATTGAGTAAATGATGTGAGAGAGCATGTTATGTGATCTGATGCACCAGTATCCAAGATCCAATTATGAACTAAATCTGAATGGTTATGAGAAGACAGGACAAACTTACCTGCATGACTCGGGAATTTTGGTAGATAATTTGTCACAGAATGTGACCTATGATTGATCACTAGACTCTGAGGTGAGGTTGGGGAGTTGGAACTGGAGGACTGCAGCAGACTCCTGAGTTTGTTCATTTCTTCCATTGTGAACCCTCCTGAACCAGAATGTGTACTTCTTATATCAACCTGTAGGCGTCCTTCATTATCTTGCCATTCCTCACTTCCAGAACTTTGGCCAACTGACCCACCAAACCGATTCCCTTGAGTCCCTTCTTTCTCTTGTCTCTTCCTTTTCAGTTTCCAGCGGTCCTTAATGACATGATTAGTCTTCTTACAGTAATCGCATAATAGTCCTGTTCTTTCAGCTTCTCCTTCTGGTCGATTGTATCCCTTAGCAGGTGGGGCACCTGCCCCTATAGCTAATGCCACATATTGGCTTGACTTTTGATTCCCAATGCTTCCTTCAGTTTTGATCTTCTGTTCATGTTGCAAAAGGTAGTCATATGCTGTAGTGACTGTAGGCAAAGGCTTCATCATCAACAATTGAGAGCTGATGTAGTTGTAATCCTCATTCAGACCCTTAAGGAACCTGATTAAGTAATAAATATTATGTTTCTCCTTGAATGCTTCAACAGCTGTGCAAGGATTTGGGTTACCAGGAGCACAGTGACAAGGTACTATAGGATTAAATTGAATATACTCATCCCATAAACCCTTCAAATGGGTGTAATATTGAGTAACAGTACTGGTCCCCTGTTTGTAAGCACGCATTTCATCTTCCAAGTTAGATAACTTGATGGCATTTGCTTGCCCAAAACGATCATTCAGTTCCTTCCAAAGAATCTGTGCATTCTCATGAGTCTGAACACTTCTAGCAATCTCCTTCTCTAAGGAATTAGTAATCCAGAAAAGAACAATAGTATTGTTTGCATCCCAAACATTAAACAACTCATGAGATCGATCTGGGGCTGGGATAGATCCATCTATGAAACCCAGTTTCTGCTTCGTTTTAAGAACAACTTTCATGGCGCTAGACCACATCTGGTAATTTGATCCATCAAGCACAATGGGTACAATCGATTGCGCTAGATTTTCATTGGGGTTGATATAGAAAGGATTACCGAAGGCTGGATATGTAGATCTAGTTCCCTGACCGTTTGCTGGACGAGTGCCTTGCGCGTCATTGTTGAAACTCCCAAAGTTGTAAGGGATGTTTTTAGCACCAGTGCTACCTGATCCGTTGCCGGGAGGTGTATTCGGCGCCGGAGAGTTTGGAAAAGACGACCCCATAGCTACTCGTGCTCTGATACCATGTAGAAATTATAGGAATGAGGAAATGGGGAAGGGTTTCCACAGCAGCAAAACAGCTGGGAACCCTGATATTTATATCAAAAGTAAAGCAGGGTTTTACAACGTTCAAATCTAGTTTTACTGTTAACCACAACACGTGGCAATCACTGATAGGCTAAAAATAAACTAACAACACTTATTTAACGGTCACTACTGATACGACGACGTCTTCACAAGGGCTTGGTTGAAGTCACGAAACGTATCCCATACTGCAAATCGTCTTCAAGCCCAACTCCCGTTTCGGATGTCTGCAAAGGGGTCTTCGTGTTGCAGCAGCTTGGATTTCCCTCTCTGCATCTTCTCTTCCTGCTTGTTCCAATCGAGAGCTCCTCCATTCTGCTTCAACACAGATCGGGCTTTGAACCTTGATTCCACCGAATCAACGCAGATCCAGGTTGTTCACACCGGTGGCTTTTCTCGCGGCGAAAACATAGGTCAGCCCACCTCCCTTAAATTCGAGGTTGTCGGGTTGTCACGACTTCCGACGACTCCGCCCCGGCTAGGAATGACATTGACAGCTCCAGCTGCACTGTCGAGTTCACAGCCGCCGGGATCTGAAGCAGACCGAACCGTCGTCCGCCCATCATGATTGAATTTTTCAATTTTATTTTATAATATTATTATTTTTACCATAAAATAATATTTTATTCTTCACTACAGTTGCTTTGGCTTTGCCCTTGGGTTTGCCCACGTTGATTGCTCGATCCAAAATGGCGACATTCCGTTATCTGGAGGAGAAGTTACTGGCGCGTCTGCAGGGGTGGAAATAGAAAATTTTATCCTGGGCGGCTAAGGAGACCTTAATTAAGTCAATTGATTTGGCTTTGCCCCTGTATGTTATGTCTTGTTTCCGGTTGCCTCTCTCCCTTTGTCGTTTATTGGATAGACATGTGGCCCGCTTCTGGTGGGGAGCTGAGGAGGGGCACCCCAAGATTCGGTGGGTGTCCTGGCGGAACCTTTGTCGGAGTAAGCATGAGGGGGGACTTGGATTTCGGAGGTTTGAACATTTTAACCAGGCCCTCTTAGCAAAGATTGGCTGTCGTATTATCCAAGAGCCGAATTCCCTCCTGGCTCAGGTGTATAAAGGGAAGTACTTTCCTCACGGATCTTTTCTATCTGCTACTGGCCGGTCTAGGCCGTCTTGGGGATGGCAGAGTATCCTGTTTGGGCGCCAGCTTTTGGAGGCAGGGTTAAGATGGCAGATCGGCAATGGCCTGTCGGCCTCCCTGGTGCATTCTAACTGGATTCCTGGGCTTCAACTGGATCCTCCTTGCTATAACCCTCGTGTCCTGCCAAATGGGGGGGGGGGGGGGGGGAGGGATCCCCGGGTAGCGGAGGTTATTTGTCAAGGGGAAGGGCGTTGGGATGAGAATAAGCTTAGTCAATGGTTTGGCCCTTCTGTCTGTCGGGCCATTACAGCTATCCCACTTCCGAGGCGGAGTGTGGATGATAAACTTATATGGCATAACACTGCTGATGGGGTGTTCTCGGTTAAGACAGCATATCATCTGGCTGTTGAGCTTGACAGGAGGAGGGGTGGGTGGCGAGACTCGGTGAGTTGGATGGATAGACAAAGATGGATCCGGTTGTGGGAAGCTAAGATCCCTCCCAAGCTTAAAGTCTTTGTCTGGCAAATTTTGAATCGAGCCTTGCCAACCACAGAGGCGCTCATTGAAAAGAAGGTTTGTGCTGTCCCGGTGTCCGGTTTGTTGGGATGGTCCCGAGACTATGGAACATTTATTTCTTTACTGCCCGGTTGCGCGGGCTCTCTGGGATTTATCGGGGTTGGAGTATTTAGGAGAGGCTTTGCCTCGGCACACTTTTCCACTATTTCTGAAGCGGATGCTTGCCCTGGTCCATGATCAATCGTTGTTTATGGCGCTAGTTGCCATCCTTTGGCGGATCTGGCGTTCACGAAACTGGGTTATCTTTGAGGGCAAACAGTTTGGGCTTCCGGCTTTAATGCGCCAATTTCATCAGCAAATTGAGGAGTGGATGGGGCTGCCGGTTGACCAGCAGTCAAGGGTGTCGTGCCAGGTGGTCCAGCCAGGGATCCAAATGGATGATTCTTGTTTGGTTTGCCTGTGGGATGGGGCAACTAGGAGGGGATCACACTCGGCTGGAGGCTTGGTTCTTTGTGGTCCGGGAAGGACGGTCCTTCGGGCTAAAGGTGTGCAATTTGCACGAATTGATGATCCGATGGTGGTGGAATTGCTTGTGTTGCGTGAGGCTATCACTTGGTGTTTAGAGTGGGGTTTGTCCGGGGGTTCGGTTCGAGGGTGATGCGAAGGTCATTATTGACAAGATTAATCAGGCCAATTTGCGGGACAATCGCTTGGGGGCAGTCCTGGACGAGATTTGTCAATATTTTGCTGCCTATCCAGGGTTTACTGTGCGGTTTATAGGTCGGGAGAACAATAGGGTAGCACATTTGGTTGCTAGAAAAGCCCTTTCTTTGTACCCAACTGGGAACCGTTATTTTGATTTCAGGGCCTGGCTGCTTTCCAGGATGTAACTATCTTTCTGATTGATTAATATATATTATCTTTTGAAAAAAAAAAAAAATTCTTCACTACAACAGATTTTAAACCGATACACAATTCAATGACGTTAGTGGTACCCGACACTCTATTCTTACATAAATGGTATAACTTCCTCAATTCTCATATTTAAGTGATATTCAAGGTGTTCTACCCTCTTCAATATTCTCTTCGAGATTTCGAGTGTTTTGCTTTCCCTCTCTTGCCTTTTCGAGTCTGAAACATTCACTCTCCACTCCAGAATCCGCAGCTTACTCCACCAGAATCCAAGTCCCGAAACTGGCGGCGTTCTCGCAATCAAGGTCTACCTCGTCGGGAACTTGGATCACTCTACCAAAATTCTTTCAGCTTCTTGGCTTTAGTTTCGGGGAGCAGGAGCAAAGACATAAACCCTAAGTCAGCCAAAACCAGGGTACCTTCTTCGAGCTGCTGTGCATTTCCAGCAGAGATGGCGGGTTTACTTGGGGAAACCGATCTGGTGAAATTAATGTCGTTTAGCGACGATTTGGTGGCGGTGTTGAAGAAGCAAACCAGCATCGATTCCTTGTCCCAGTGTCTTGACGAGTCGAAAGCTCTTCGCACCTTTTCCGAGGCCGAATTCGACGAGGTCCACACCCAGCTCCAAGGTCCCCCTTTTCTCCCATAAAATATATCTTGCCCTGTGAATTTTGAACTGTTGCCTTGCTCTGCTGTGCATTTCCCGATTCATGATCGGCAAAAGGAGCTATTTTGCAGTATGTTTTGTATAATTTTTCTTCCTTCGGGCGAAAATCTGGGGAATTAATCCCTTGAGGCTGACTCAATCTGGAAACCAATTTTGTGTTGACCCGAAGAGACCACTATTTCTTGTTCAGATTATGAGAAAAAGATTGAGGAATGCAAGCAGAAGACAGCAAAGGCGAAACTGGAGGTATGTGATGACGCGGAGATAGGCCTTCTCCAGAAGGAGTTGGAAGCTGAATTAAACGAGGAACGTGCTTTACGAGAGGATCTCAGATAAGTGCATCTGTGGTAATATGAAATCGATGGTTGAGTGTACGAAGCATTTGTGTTCCCTTCGATTGATTGGTTTTTGTTTCTTATTCTGTCAAACACAGTGATCAACAATCAGATCAGCGGTTTAGAACTGCAAAGGGTTTCCATTGACAAGCAAATTCAACTGAGAAAGAAACTGGATCGCGAAGAGTTGAGGGCACAGTGAGTAGTTGATAAGACCCCTATGATGTCAATCTGTGAAAAATGTACTCTTTGATTTCTGTTTATCTCTTTACTCACCAGGAATTGAAGCATATTTTTGGTTTGACATCTGCAGGAAGAAGCTTTCTATGTATGCTTCTGTTACGAATATCATTCCAGACTTGGACAACCGTTCCACAATCTCAGGCCGTATCCTTGTCTTTTGGAGCTAAATGTATATGGCTTTGTTTCTTTTTTGCCTTCAAAAACTTGTCTGATATGTTTTGTAACATGCTTGGGCGTGGGTTTCCTTAATTACAGCCGTAGATATAGTAGACCGGGATAAGAGGATGGTTGAGAAGTTTGAGCTCGACCCAACGGAATCAACTCCATTTGGAACTTGTGAGAGCATTTGGAAGTTGATAAATCACCGATAGGCAATCGAACATCCATCGGTTCCTTCAGAGCCCTCCGATCTGTTTCCTGCTGATCTGGTTCCAGAGAGATTGTGTGTATGTGTTACTAACACCTTTCCTCTACCAAATTATGTTATTGTAGTTATTAGTTCGAAAGAACCAATGATCATGAAATCTACAGTTCTTAACGTATGTGTAATATCCCAGGCTCCTTCCCCGCTCCCCTCTTTTCACTTATATGTTGCTTTGTGATCAGCTATTTTCAGAAAAGCTTCATCTCATTGTCTCTTTTCGTTCTGTAATATCAGTGTTAAGTTTGAGTACGATGCAGCAAAGATTCACTTAGGGTGGTTTGATGTCCATGTTATGTTTCTACTTTGTACTTGAGAAGACATTGTAAGAGTGTGTAATGTCATGTAGACTTCAAATACATGGTTTTTGTATAAGATTCCTTCCAGAAAAACAATGGATTGTTAGAAACTCACTGGTAACGCCGTAACGGTCCCGACTGGTTGTTGCATATAACGACATAATTGATCTAGTTTAATAATCTCAACCCACAATTGAAATCTTCTAGCTCACAAGGTTGTTACTTTTCATGGCTAATAGAAACCTCACAAGGCTAAGCAATGGTGGAGAAGCCATCGCTTGTATACCGATATGAATCGAGCATGAAAGCATGGGGGTATAATATCGTAAGGGCGTTGACAGAGAGTAAATGCTGCAAGAGTGAGTAGTTGATGAATGATAATGATATACTGCTGGTACCTGCTTGCTTTAAAGGTGGTAGTTGTCGTGGAAACAATCCTTCAAAATTTGGGTGTTGTTTGTGTTGCTCAACGTTGCACTTTTTGTAAGTGAAAATATAGAGCACGGGGCATTAATGGGTTAAAGACACATTTGGTCACTGAGATTACTAAATTGGGACATGTTAGTCACTAGAAAAAATTAATATCAACTTTAGTCACTCGAATTACTGGAACAGGTCACATTTAGTCACTCTCCGTTAGTCTCCGTCCAACTCCGTTAATGAAGTCTGTTAAGTGCTGATGTGGCAAACAGAGGTGCCTAGTCAGCGCAGTTTTGAGTCGGAAATGGTCAAACCCGACCCGCCACGTCACTAAACCCGCCATGTCATATGCCCAACCAACCCATGCACCCACCCGACCCATAAACCAAACCCAACCTTTCTGATTCCACTTCTCTTCTTCGATTCCTCCTTTTCCTTTCCACCGGAGCGTCGATCTGGTCAAGGACTACGGAATCACCACCGGCAACGTCCTCCACTTGGTCCTCAAGCTCTCCGACCTCCTCCTCATCACCGTCCGCACCACCTGCGGCAAGGAATTTGAATTCCGCATCGACCGGTACCGAAACGTCGGATACCTAAAACACCACATCTTCCAAGAGGGCAAGGGTTTCGTCGACGTCGACGAGCAGGAAATCTTCTACAACGGTCAGAGGCTCGATGACCAGCGCCTCATCGACGAGATCCGCGACACCAGAGCCGCAGACACCGCCGCGATTCACCTCCTCGTCCAGAAAACCGCCAAGGTCAGAGCCCAACCGCTGAACAGAGATTTCGAGATCTCCGTCGCCGCCGCAACAAACCCTAATCAAAATCAGAAGCAGAATCAGGAGTCGTCGATTGAGGCGCCAAATCAGGAGCAAGCTGGTAGGGATTTCTGGCTAGAACCCGTGATCGTAAACCCTAGCGTGAGATTAGATTCAGCGATTTGGAAAATGGTGAATTCAACCTTCGTCGGGTTGGAAATGGGTCACCCGCCGATCCGTTCGTCGGAAGGAACAGGGGGGACTTATTTCATGAGGAACCCATCAGGGCAAGGGTTCGTATTCGTGTTCAAGCCCAGCGACGAGGAGCCTAATGCGGTGAACAACCCGCAGGGACTGCCGGTGTCGACCAACAGGGAAGGGTTGAAAAGAGGGACAAGGGTAGGGGAAGGTGCGATTAGAGAAGTTGCCGCTTACATATTGGATCATCCCATTGACGGACCGAGGGGTCTGAACAATGAAGTGATGGGGTTTGCAGGTGTGCCACCCACCATTGTTGTTCAGTGTTTGCACAAAGGGTTCCATCATCCTGAAGGGTTCGAGTACTCTGCCAAGAATGTGAAGATGTGGTGGTGGTTGTAATTGAGGCGGAGGTGGGGGTGGTGGAGATTGGTTTCGATGTTGGAGAAGGTGAGAAGTGGGAAAGGGTTTTTTTTGGTTTTCTGGGTGGGTTGGAAGGTGGTGGGAGGAAGGAGGAGAGCGGTGGCGGCGGTGGTTTTGGGGAAAGAAGGAGACGAGAGGAAGGAGGAAGAAGGGTTGGGTGGGGTTGGATCATGGGTTGGGTTGGTTTTAATAACATGGCGGGTTATAATGACGTGGCGGGTCGGGTTTTATTTTTGTTGGGTTATATCCGGCTAATTAGGCAATTCTGTTTGCCACATCATCACTTAACGGACTTCATTAACGGAGTTGGACGGAGACTAACGGCGAGTGACTAAATGTGTCCAGTTTTAGTAATTGTAGTGACCAACTTTGATATTAATTTTTTCTAGTGACTAAACATGTCCCGATTTTGTAATCTCAGTGACCAAATGTGTCTTTAACCCGGGAATTAATAGATGCAGAGAGTGTCATCGTCGGTCATGGGCTCAACTGCTCAAGGTGGGAAGGAAGCTCGTGGGATGCTTTGAATTATAGCATCACCTAAATCTCCCCATCATCTTGTCTTATTTGACTCGGATTATACCCGAACTTTTTAGTTTGTCTTGTGGTTTCTGAAATTACTCTTTTGATCCGAATTATGGACCATACTTTCTTGTTTGGCCCTGCCCGGCGCGAGTTTTGACCGTCAAATTGGACGATTAACTCCATTGACCCTTAGTCAATCGTCATGTCACTTGCCACATTAATGAACCCGAAATAAAAAATTTGGATTTATGTAATTATTTTCGTTATCTAATAACAATAAGGTGAAATGTATCAAATATAGGACCCTGAGAACCCTATAATTTTAGTGTTATCAAAGAAAATGTAAAATGTACATTTTTATAGCCTCATTCATTACATGTTTACATAATTTATACAAATTTTATGTCATATTAACTTGGATTTGCTTGATAATTGCTCCGGGTGTGTGTTTAGTAGTCTCTATGGATGTTATTATGCTTTTGATATCCTTTGGCTAGTATTTTATGTATTTTCAGGTCAAAGTACCCTAGTGGATCATCATGTACAAGTTAGAGACATCATGATTAGCAGATTAGATCTAGAAATGTAGTTGGAGCTCAAAGCCCAGAAATGACAGCCCAAATTGCCAACCAAAACCCAATTAGTGCCTCGGGCACCATTTCCTAGAAGCACTAGACCAGCTCGATTTCTCTTGGGTATTCTTTCCTTGGAGGCTAAGTTGGAGATATTTAAGAGATGCGAGGAGAAGAGTTTCCTTCCTACAATATCTCCCATAAAATCTAATGGAAAGGGCTATAAATAGACTCCCTCAGTTACCATTTCAAGATGCATCTTTACAGGGAGTGTTACTCTGTCGACAACACAAGTAAGAGGCATCATCAGCTTGATGACCAAAATGGTGCCATAGGCGCCATTTTCCTTACAAGGCATTAAACAACATAAAAACAGGAGCGTTTCTCTATGAAAATCACTCAAAGCAACCTAAATCATGCTAAGGCTCATGTTTTAAAAATATTAACCCATATTAGCATAAAGTAGATCACAATGTGTCCTAACTATGATGATTTTAGCACACAAACGCCTAAATAATGGGGGTAAGTAGTGGCAAATTTAGGTGTTATCACTTTGGTCCTTTCAATAATATGAAATGGATGGTTAATGGAGCATTGATGAAGTTGTGAAGGGAGGACAAAAAGAAGAAAGTGAGGAAGGTTAAGAGCTTGGTCTTCAACAAGGGGGAGACATCATTGAAGAAAAAAGAAGGGAGGTTGAAGAGGTTGATGGATGCCTAGGGTTTATCGAATTGTTGGGCATGAAGATGGCATTGCCTATGAGCAACAAATGACACCTAAACTCGATAAACACCTTTCAATGGATCCATTTGCCAATACTATTTTCCAAACTATGCCATTCCATCACCAACCCTCTTGGTGGATGCCATGGTGGTCAATCCGTGTTGAATTATATGGTTTGAGGCAAAGAGAAAAAAGAAGGGATCTCGAAGATGAAACCTCAATCACGATCAAGTCTGTAAATCATCATCAATTATCACACCAAATGCTCAGTACTCGAGACTTCATATCACCAACGAGAACCTCAATCTCAGTGAGGTTTTGGGATGAAGCAAGCTCCAAAGCAATTGTCTAGCTTATGAAGGTAAAAAAAGCTCTTGGTTGGGAGGCAATCCAACCCCTGTGATTTCTTTCCCTATTAACATTTATGTTTACAGTAGTATATAACTATCTTGTGGATGTGTTTCTCCTATCACTGTGTGTTTGACCCCACTTAATCAGGTTGAACAAACCTTCAATAGCCCTTCCTTTACTTTCTTCACTAGTTATACATAATGGTAAACTTGTTTGCTTTCACTTATACCTTGTCTTATGCACAATGGGACAATGTGAGATTTAAGCGTGGGAGTGTTTAGTATACTTGTTTGCAAATGCTTGCATGTCGTTTATGTGCATATGATTTGATGATTTTGAATGGAAAGTATGTACAATTTCCATGTGTGGTGATGGTGAAGGATTGTGATTCCATGTTTAATGATTGCACAGAGCCTTGAATGCATTCCCAAAATTTTCAAATTTGAAGGCTCCAAAAACCTTTTCGCTTAAATGGTGCTTCATTGTTTTGGATCTACCTCTTTTGATTGCTTGTGTGTGAGGTGATGAGGAGGGTGTAGCGCTATGGATGAATCAATTTTAAGTTTGATTTGACTAATATTATAATGTATATAGAGGAATGTGGATGAGGAATGTGCATGACTAGTGCTTCTCTGAAGTAGTTTGTAAAAGATGACTACTTCTGATCGCATGTCTTGTTGAGGGTGATGTGCCTGGGACCCTGCTCAGAGTCGGGTAGAAACCATTAAAAGGTTGGATATCCCTATGTAGTGGTTCGTCCACACGGGCCAAGGTATAGGTAGGGAAAATCATCCCTTTACTCGATGGAATAGATAGCGCTTATCCTCTTTCAACAAAAATTTAAGAAAAGAAAGCGGTCTTTATTGAAGTGAAGAGGCAAAATAAAGCAAAAATGCATAGGACCTCTACTTGTCGTGTCCGAAACACCAAAAATAAAAGTTTTGAAGTTGCTACAACCCTAAAGATTTTTCATAAATTGTGAAAAGAAACCTTCAAGAGCTTTCATTCGGTTTACCTACTTCGAGAATCCACTTGGGCACCGTATGCCATCTACCCTCTCTTGAGTGCATTGTGTTTCGAGCTTGATAGAATTAGACTCACCAAATGAGAAGTTGTTGCATCAAAAGTTTCTACGAAGTTAATAATAGCTGACTCCCGATGATTAAACTTTCAAACGAATGGTTAAGAAAGGTAGATTTGCACTATCAGAGTGCATCTTTGCTTAACAACAAGCAAACCGTAAGTGTGGGAGAAAATTGATAACACCTAACATAGATGTTATTAGCCCTTCATTTCCTTGGTGTTTGAATGCCATAATCATTATACTTCAGCCATTTTGGGGTTGATAGTGTTCTATATTTGACCAAATGTCGACATCTTAGTATTTAGCATGATGTTTACTGATCTTTAGCCATTTGGCTCGTAACATTTTAATTCTCAGCCTATTCTAGTCTAGGTTGTCTTTTCTTTCCTAATTTAGGTCCTAGAATAATAATAAATATGAATTGTACCAAGTTTTGTGGCAATTGGAAGTTGTTTAAAGAATGAAAAGAAAAAGAGAAGAAGACCTAGAGCAAGCCATGGTTAGATTTACGACCGTAGCCAAGTTCATGGCCAATGTTCATGGTCGTGACTTCCCATTACAAAAGCAGGAGAACCTAAGTATTTGGGGCTCTTTCTCCCAATGAACTAAACCTTTATATTGGTTAGAGATAGTGCTCAATTAGATGTTTGCTCGGTATGTTGTTGTATGGATTAAATTATGTTGATTCTCCTTCAACCATCTATCTATGTTATTTATGTGATCGTGAGGTTTCCCAGTTTCTACGGTTTGACCACCATAGGTTTGGGGCATTTTGTGGGTGGCAATATCATAGATTCACATGACTTTCTCATACCTTATGTCTATAAAGTGATTGCATGAATTGAAATTCAAGTTGGGTACAATTAGATCTTGGAGATTGATAAGGTTATTGTGCCCCAATCTCTAAGGTTTGGGCCATCATTATATAGATGAAGATTGGATATGTGAGCAAATCAAGAAATTACATGATCCTTTCATATTGAGGTTAGCTCATGAAGGGTGAGATATTTTCTCTAGTGGAATCCTAACCTAAATGCATCACCAAGGTAGTTAGGGTTGTGAGAATTCAGACTCAAGTCTCTACTTAGTTTATAGGAGCTATAATTACGTGATCATTGAGTTAGAGCTTATTCAATATATTTTCTTGGACTTAATGATGAATCAATCCAATTCCTCATGAGATGAACCCCTTGCAAGCATTGAATAGTAGTTTAAAGTCTAGCCAACACTATCTCTTCTCTTATGATCTCCCTCTTAGTTAGTTTTTTTTTCGTTTGTTAGTTTAGTTCACACTTAATGGCCTTCATAATTGTTTGGCTAGATAGTAGATTGAGGATAGAGTAGTAGCCCATGTCGACCCATGAAACCCGACGTCAATTCCCTCAACCCGAACCCATGCAAACTTGCATGTCTTCGCTGCGTGCATGGCTTGCGTGTTAGAGGATGATGACATATATATGATGTAACCCTAGCTACTAGTGAAAAGGGTATATATGATCATTGTACGTAGCTTAAGCTGCTTGTGAGCTAATAAACTAATAACTTTAGTAGCTAGAGAGGTTCTCACACTCCTGTGGATTAGTCCCGACTCGTCGGGGATACCACGTTAAATCGTGTCTTATCATTATGTTATAATAGTTGTGGCTCATCTCTTCGTGTTAGGCTTTCGCAGTCACGAATGCGAACTCCTTTTCTCCTTGGCTAGATGATAGGGCAAAAGCGTAATGCTTCAATTCCTATCTTGTAGTAAAACCGGAAAGTCCGGGTATCGTCTCTCAGGGACTGGTACAACCTTATGATTTATCAATTCTATGGAGCAAACTATATGTGAAAATGGTTTGGTTGATGAAATTATTATCTAATAAAAAAATAATTAAACAAAACAAGCAAATTAAAATGTTCGGGAGAAATTCAATGGAGAAAGCTCTGGGAGAAACACCGAAATTCACTACCTATCATATCCAAATTAATTCACATATTCCAATCAATTTAATCCAACTCTCTACAGCCAGGATATCACTACTGTGCTAGCTATCCCTGTCGGGAATTACTACGTACTAAACAATTAAATCAAATCCTACCGTCGTAGCTCAATGACTTAATTATTTAGCCTGAAGATCGATATCCTATTCAAGACCACATAACATCTTATTTAATCCACTGTCGCTTCGATAAGTTACTATGTCACATGAAATATGTTCAGTTATTAGGGTTTCACTGTCGCTAATAACCTAATTAACAACAAATCAAATTATTGGTGGCCAGTCAACACAAAACATTAAGCAATTCCATGCAATAGAGATTGGAGGAAAAGATTTACGAATTAATTCATCAAGTATAGAAATAGCTACATCCTATGGTGTTTCCCCCCCAGCAATTGGGGTTTAGTTCATGACGAAAATAAAATACACAATCATGTTCATAATCATCATAAAACTAGTAACGAGAAGGAGAGAAAATTCTGATACGAAATAAATCACAGATTCTGATTTTCTCTCCAATCGGCTCTGTTATCCGCTCCAATTGCTGCTCGAAAGTCGCACCGTGCTCTGCTGCTTGCGTTCGGTAGCGCTCGGGAATTTTTATTCTCCTCTGCGCTCGAGCCGCTCGCGATCCCTTCTTGCTCCCTGCTACTCTTTTCTGCCGTCCATAAAGTTCAATCCCCCAAAGGCCAAAACACTCCCCGCTACTCTTCGCCAAAAAGAATTCCCCCCTCACTAAATTAGTTCCGTCCCCTGGCCAATTTTCTTGGCCCAAGAATTAATAATAGCCACCCATCCCTCGTTGACTCACCCCAAAAATAGTCTCTCGGGCCCAAAAATATAATTCCTCCGCCCAAAAACGTGTCCCACTCCTCTTCCTGGCCCAATTGCGTCTCCTCCCCGAGACAAAGTGATTTTGGCCCGATTAATTGCTTGTGCACTTGCTTCTTTTTCGTGCTTTCTCCACCTATAACATATCAAACTCATGGCACTAGGCAGTAATGGTTTTTCAACCATTTCCGGGTTAGCGAGCCCTAAAATAGCACCAATCGGCTTAAACAGATCATAGGATAGTCACATAAAGTTCAAGAATCCGATATATTAAAGCCGATTATCACAACCCCACACTCAATTGTTGCTTGTACCTAAGCAACGACTCACACAAGAGAACGATAATTGGAGGAAACACAACACAGACCAGGGAGACACAACCTTTCTCAAAACACAAGACCCACGACACACAAAACACAACGTTAACACAAAAAATGTATCCTTGTACTCTTGTGATAATTAGTAGTTTCTTTCTCAAATGATGAGTTATGCTTTAATAATCATACCTTTCACCCCACACTCAAGGTCTTGCAACCCTTTAACATTGACTGACTCAAATCCACCAAAAACTCAATTAGCAAACACTCAATTCAGGTCGTCGGTAGTGGGTGGTTAACAACTTATGGTGCAACAGTTATTAGGAGAATCTAACCACATCAGTGAGGTACATACCTCGTGAGGACAGTCTGGCTTACTCACACCAATCATAAGCAATTAATTAAGCATGAGTCTAAAAAACAAATGGGGGAAGCTTTTGGCAAACTTGCTTTTAACTTTAAGCACATCACTACCTTTCTGACAAGGAGAGGTTTTCTCTCTTTCTGATTTTGCTTGCCGAGTAGTCGTATTTAGTACAAGTGGGATTTGTTTCTTACTACCGGTGACCGAGCAAGAGGAATTTCTGCTTCTTAGCACTCGCATAAGGGCTTATTTCAACTCCTTTTCCTCGGTTTGTGTGGAGGGTCACTGCACATCCTCAAATGGCACTTCACTCAACGGGGGATCGTACTTGATAAGCAACATCGTACGGTCGCGAACCGATTCTCAATTGAATCTTTCCTAACCCCCCTGTGAAATGAGTGATTGCCTCACACGATTTTGACATTTTACCCACACTTCAATGGTTATGGCAACTTTCTTATATTTTACTTGTCAGGTAGTGTTTTCTTTTATAAAGATACAGTTCACCCCATCTAAAACATTCAAAACAGAGAGACTCATTGCAAAATCAAAAGCTCACAAATCTCCACCTAACTACTTCACCAAAAGTCATTACACTATCCTCACAAAATAGAGTGTTGCTAAAAGAGTTTTCTCATTCAAAGCACATCAAGTCAGTCAAAACATCAAGCCATTGTGAAAAACTATGCAATTCACCACTAGTGGGGGTGATTTCGATGATTTCCTTCATGCACAAACTCATTTCACATGCATCGCGGTCATTTACATCATGTTACCACAAGAGTACAAGATTTTGTTTTTAATTTTTCTGATTTTTAGGTGTTTTGTAGCCATTAGGTTAGCACAGGCAGACTGCACTAGCACAGGTAGACTGCATGCAGTTTGGCTGTGCACAACCCAAATGACAGTTTTTTTTTTGAATTTTTTTTACCACATGCAATAGGGACAAACAAACACTAAGACTCACCACCCCACACTCAGGATGGAACATTGTCCCTAATGTTCAACTCCTAATCTAAACATGCACGGGTTTGACACAACTAAAAAGAAAAATAAAGAAAAGAAAACTCACATTGGGTTGCCTCCCAAGAAGCGCTTGTTTAACGTCCTTAGCCTGACGTTCATGGAGCTTTCAACCAATGGGTATGGAAAGGTATCCAGAATACCCTCCTGAGCAATGATAGAATGCATACCCTCCATCCAACATATGAGTCACCTCTGCAGGGCCAGGTGTGTGAAAATTTGGTATGACCTTCTTAGTTGGCATGTTGGATCCTTTAGTGAGGCGTAGGTGGTATTGCAGTGCCTCCACCAAGTACTCTTCCTGTTTCAATGTCAGTGAAGAAGGAATAATAATAGGAAGATTGAAATCCTTACTCAAATATCTATACTTGAGGTGACCTGGCAAGGATTTCTGCCCTTGCTTTGATTTCAAAATCTGAGCATATAGGATAGGTGATAGTTCTTCGGATGGTCCACAATCACAAGAAGAGGAATTTTTCCTTTCTCGAGCTCCACTTTCAAAGTCATCAAATGCATCGTGATTATGATCAATTTAAAAGACATTAAAAATTTCCTCCTCCTTACCTACTCGGAATGTCAACTTGCCTCTCCCAACATCGAAGAGTGCATCTCCAGTTGCTAGAAAAGGTCTCCCAAGAATGAGAGGCACTCCCCGATCTTCTTCCATCTCTAGAATAACAAAATCGGTTGGGAGAATTAACTTCCCCACCTTCTCCAATACATTCTCCACCACTCCCTTTGGAATTTTCACTGATCGATCAACCAATTGGAGAGTGATCCGAGTAGGCTTAAGAACATCTCCCAATCCCAATTTCTTGTAGACTGAGTATGGCATTAAATTAATTCCCTCTCCAAGATCACAAAGTGATTTATCGAACTCTCTACCTCCAATGACACATGGAATGGTGAAGCTGCCCGAATCATCCCTCTTTTCTGGTAATTTATTCTGAATCACAGCACTACATTCAGAAGTAAGGGTTATCTTTTCTAGATCAGCCCATTTGCGCTTCTTTGTCAGCAACTCCTTTAAGAATTTAGCATACGTAGGCATCTGTTCAAGTGCCTCCGCTAGTGGTATGTTGATCTGAAGTTGCTTGAAGAGATTCACAAATTTCTTGAAGTTTGGGTCTTCCATAGGCTTTATTAACCTTTGAGGGAATGATGTGGGAGGTTCATAAGGCTTTACCTCTTCATTCTTGAGTTTTTCCACTTTTGGAGTTGCACAGGCAGAATGCTCATGCACAGGCAGATTGCATGCAGTTTGCCTGTGCAAGTCAGATTTTTCAGCTTTTGCACTTTCTTCCTCTACAGCTGCTTTGCACTCCTTTTCTACCGGATTTTTCTTGCTCTTTGGATCCTCCAACTCCTTCCCACTCCTCAATGTGACCGCTACAACCATGGCGTCCTTCGGATTCCTCTCGGTATTTGCTTGTAAAGTCCCGGGAATCCTACTTTGAATATCTGCCAAAGTTTGAGCCATTTGGCCTATTTGCCTCTCCATAGCTAGCATAAATGATTGCATATTATTGTTGATGGCTAGCTGTTGAGTGACAAATTGATCAAGACCCTTGAAATTATTGTCTGTTTTCTGCATATGAGCCAAAATCAACTCCTCCAGCTGGGGTTTCTTCTCTGGTTGAGGCTGCTGCTGTTGAAAACCAGGAGGTGGGATGTTTCGAACACCAGCTGGATTATTGTTTGACCATGACATATTGGGGTGATGTCTCCATTGAGGGTTGTATGTATTTGAATACATACCACCCTGGCCTTGACTTCGCGGATTATTGATGTATTGGACATCTTCCAACTGAGCAGCTCCCAGTGGACACATATCCCTATGATGAGGACCCTCGCAAAGTTCACATGAAAAAACCTCCTCTTGTCTACCTAGAGCAATCTTGGTCAGCCTTCGTTCGAGTGCATCGAACTTAGAATCCAACTTGGCATCTATCTTGGCTTCTAGACTCGCAACTCTGTTTATCTCATGCAAGCCTCCTCTTCTTCAAATACTGGTCTCACTACCCCATTCAGTGGCTTCTGAATAGATCTTCTCTACCAGTTCATATGCTGGTGGAGCCTCCATCCTTATGAAACCATTTCGAGAAGCATTATTTAGGGCATCCCGAAACTCCCTTCTGATTCCATTGAAGAAAATAATGATCACGTTCCAATCTTCAAGACCATGGCTTGGGCATCTCATCAATAGCCCCTTATAGCGCTCCCATGTCTCAGTCAGACTCTCATCATCAGCCTGCTTAAAAGTAACAATCTCTTATTGCCTCTTCATTGCTAAGGCATGTGGGAAGTATTTATCCAAAAAGACCTTTTCAAGCTGAGCCCCATGTCGTGATGGAACGTGGTGTTAAGTTCTGAAACCAGTGTGATGAATTCCCTATCAGAGAGAATGAGAACATCCGAAGACGAATTGCATCATTAGACACAGTTGGGCTCTTCATCGTATCACATATGCTCGCGAACCGGCGGAGATGTTCATGAGGATCCTCAGTGCTAGCCCCTGAGAAAGTATATCCATTGGTGATCATGTTGATAAATGCTGGGGTAATCTCCATGGTTGCATCCCCAGCCGGAATGACAACACTTGAAGCTCGAGCTCCAGTCCGTCGATTCAAACGAGCCCTAATTGAACGATCCTCGTCTGCCATGATGACAGGCTCAATGTCACGAGGTGGTGGTGTCGGTGTCGGTGGTGTAGGGACGACAGGTGATGAAGCCTGCCCTCTCTGGGTTAGGGAAGGCCTAGTAGTTGTGGTTGGCTGCTTCCCTAACTTGACCTGCTTCCTGTTCTGTCGGCATGTCTTCTCGATCTCCGGATCTAGTGGTAGTAAATCGCCAGTCGTCCTCCTAGGCATGCATAAGGAGGATAAACCTGAAATTCACCTGCACACTAGAACACAGATCAAAATAATACACTCACAAAAATCAACAAAAATAAGGTATGGCAGTCCCCGGTAACGGCGCCAAAAACTTGATAGGGCAAAAGCGTGATACTTCAATTCCTATCTTGTAGTAAAACCGGAAAGTCCAGGTATCGTCTCTCACGGACTAGTACAACCTTATGATTTATCAATTCTATGGAGCAAACTATATGTGAAAATGGTTTGGTTGATGAAATTATTATCTAATAACAAAATAATTAAACAAAACAAGCAAATTAAAATGGTCGGGAGAAATTCAATGGAGAAAGCTCTGGGAGAAACACCGGCATTCACTACCTATCATATCCAAATTAATTCACATATTCCAATCAATTTTATCCAACTCTCTACAGCCAGGATATCACTACTGTGCTAGCTATCCCTGTCGGGAATTACTACGTACTAAACAATTAAATCAAATCCTACTGTCGTAGCTCAATGACTTAATTATTTAGCATGAAGATCGATATCCTATTCAAGACCACATAACATCTTATTTAATCCACTGTTGCTTCGATAAGTTACTATGTCACATGAAATATGTTTAGTTATTAGGGTTTCACTGTCGCTAATAACCTAATTAACAACAAATCAATGTATTGGTGGCCAGTCAACACAAAGCAGTAAGCAATTCCATGCAATAGAGATTGGAGGAAAAGAAATACGAATTAATCCATCAAGTATAGAAATAGCTACATCCTATGGTGTTTCCCCCCAGCAATTGGGGTTTAGTTCATGACGAAAATAAAACACACAATCATGTTCATAATCATCATAAAACTTGTAACGAGAAGGAGAGAAAATACTGATATGAAATAAATCACAAATTCTGATTTTCTCTCCAATCGGCTCTGTTATCCGCTCCAATCGCTGCTCGAAAGTCGCACTGTGCTCTGCTGCTTGCGTTCGGTAGCACTCGGAAATTTTTATTCTCCTCTGCGCTCGAGCCGCTCGCGATCCCTTCTTGCTCCCGTTACTCTTTTCTGCCGTCCACAAAATTCAATCCCCCAAAGGCCAAAACACTCCCCGCTACTCCTCACCAAAAAGAATTCCCCCCTCACTAAATTAGTTCCGTCCCCTGGCCAATTTTCGTGGCCCAAGAATTAATAATAGCCACCGAGCCCTCGTTGACTCACCCCAAAAATAGTCTCTCGGGCCCAAAAATATAATTCCTCAGCCCAAAAATATAATGTCTCACTCCTCTTCCTGGACCAATTGCGTCTCCTCCCCGAGACAAAGTGATTTGGGCCCAATTAATTGCTTGTGCACTCGCTTCTTTTTCGTGCTTTCTCCACCTCCACTTGTAACATATCAAACTCATGGCACTAGGCAGTAATGGTTTTTCAACCATTCCCGGGTCAGCGAGCCTTAAAATAGCACCAATGGGCTTAAACAGATCATAGGATAGTCACATAAAGTTCAAAAATCCGATATATTAAAGCCGATTATCACTATAGAAACCTTAATTGATGCTGGCTTAAGCTTTCTTGCTATGATGGAGCAGGGAATATGAAGAGGACCCGTCCGGTAACTTAAGGTTGCGATTGGCCTCCGATGTAGAAGTCTCAGCCCAATAGTCATCACGGAAGGAGAAAAACGATGAGAAAAGGGAAATGTGTTACTCTCTCTTTGCTGTAAGTCTACTTTTCTGCTTTTCTAGTAGAAAGTAGCAAGATTGGACGAGAATCTAACGTCAAAAGTATGTTAGTCTAATGCTAAAACACTAATCACTTCTGGTCGTTCTGAATCATTTTTTTTCCGAATCTCTTATTAAATCTGCAAGAACATAAATGAGAAAAAGGAGAAGAGGCTCCCAAAATTCCATTAGTAAGGAAGATTCAGCCTTTAAGGTCACAAAAACGCCATAACTTATCCTTCATCCCAATTAATTATTTATATAGATATAGAAACAATTTCAGTTTCAGTTTCACAGGCTATACTATATCCTCATGTTCTATTTGAACCCTTCTGGAGGTTCCTTTGAGGTTCCTCAACTTCGTCACTCTCTTAACCGTTCCAGGGATGTCATGTTCATGGCTTCCTTCTTATGGCAGGCTTGAAGATCGTCCAAATTCGATACTGCAACTTTGCTTCCTTGTGGTGGAAGCGAATTGCAGGCCGCTGGTGCAGGCTGCCCTTTATATTCATTACACACATAGACAGTGAAATTCCCGTAATCCTTTCCAATGGACAACTTATTGATAACGATCCACGGTACAAAAGTGGGCGGCGGGACAAGACTTGAAGTTTCCTGGCTAAGCAAAACATCAAGCTGCAACACAAAAAGGACTTTCTCCAAGTCAATAAATATTGTGTTGGATTCTGTCTAAGCTGAAGGAATGTGAATGTAAGACAATAGGACCTTGGTTCCATTGGAACTGTTGTAGCAGTCAACAATACGTTGGTCAGACAATCCCAGCGACTCGAAACATTCGTGCCAACTGTTATGCTTCCCCTCGATCACGAACAGCTCCATGCATGAAATCAGAGCATAGCTTTTGTCCTGCAACACAGAGAGCTCGTTCACTTTCAATGGCAGAAAGTTGTCACGGTAGAAAAAGCTTTTCTGAATTGAATTGAATTGAATCAGAGTCATAACCAATACCACATCATGCAAAATGTCGATGGAACAAGCTTGTACAGTATTCAGCTGGCATTCTTCGTGACCGTTCTGCAAAACAGTTCGTCAGATTCGGATGTTTATCAAATTAGAATAGTTCATATAATCGAACCCGATTGGCAAAAAGGTTGCAGGCTGACATTCCTGGTTAATCAATCTGAACTTTCTAAAGAGAGGGACATTAATGAAAGAACCTGGCAAATGATGGTGTTGTTCATTCCAATGAAACGAGCATTTCCCCAAGGTATTAGCCTGAGATTGACTATGTCAATGAGGCCATTGTTGAAGATGGTGAGCAGGTTCTGAACTATGAACTGAGCACAAGCTGGACAGAGTGATTCGTAGTAGACCGAGAGATTCACTTTCTGATCAGAAGGAGCGAATGCAGACTGATTACTTGTACCAATATCAGCCTCCAAATGAGAAGGTACAAAAGAAGAAGAATAAGTATGGAATGGGAAGAAAGCAAATGAGAGGAGGAAGATTGCAGTGAAGAGAGAAGGAGCCATTTCTATACTCAACAAAGCTATCTAGAGCTTCTTTTTTTTAATTTCTTCTGGCAAGAGCTATGCAGAGCATTGATGTCCTTCTGACAGAATTGTTTTTTCTTTCTCATAAACACTCTAGCCAAAGACCCCAAGACCAAGAGAGAGATGCTGCTGACTGCCTGAATGTAAGTTGCTGGGAGCTGAAGTGACGACACTGCCCTTTTGATTATTATGCCATAATTTCCCGAGGAAAGACAGCCACAATAATAATACTTTCTCAATCTGGAGTGAACAAATTATCCATTGATCCAACCCAAACCTCGACTACTTTGTTTACTTGTTCCAACTTGGATTCCCAACATTGCACGACTGGCAAAATTTAATGCGTGTTGTATAAGTTCTGACTTTTTCCCTTTATAATGTTAATTGAAGAATGCCAAGCAAATGGGTTTCGTTTTTCTCTGGCCGACTGGCCCTGTCCTATGCTCTGCCAAACTTCATTGACAGTGAAATGTGAATGAACTGTAAACGAGGTTGAAAAACGCGTAATTCTTTAATGTCTGCATGAATTTAAGGACATGCATGATGCTGAACAGCTCAAGTCCAACAATAAGAATGTGATTTGAACTGAGGACAAATTAATCAACCATCTTATATCGTGTATTTTCATTAAAATGTAGAATTCCAACGAATCAAATGTTTGTACACGTTCAATAATTACTGACAAACATGTTAAATATGAGCACAAATCTGGTCTCAACAAAGCACACTTTTATCTCCATCTCCAACTGGGCGACGTAGAACAAACCACATACGATTTAAATTAGAGTATAGGAAAAAGCATACCAGCTTGTGAAATTACCCCACTCTTCTCTGTCACTTTCTCAATCGCAGCAGCTGCTCTAGCCATCCGTAATTTTTTTTCCCCTGCACACAGGAGGGTGAAAGAGTTATAAAAACAAAACAAGAGGGTGAGAGATCATACCAACCAAAAAACATACACCGCCCAGGAAAAAGGAAGACATCTTAATCACAACCCAACTCTACCAGCGGCTGCTAAGTTCCCCGATCCCATAAATAATGACAAAGAAAAATGGAATAGGCAGTAATGTTTCAAACATAGCACAACACAACTGCAATGAAATAGTCCACACATATGGATTCTTTTCGGGGAGTTCCCAGCTTTTGATAAGAAGAATGAAAGAATGCTAATGAATAACCACTGGGTGTAAAAAGAGAGCGGAGTCGGGTCCCTCGATGGGAGATTGCGACTTCTTCACTCCAGCACCGACAACGAACCATTGAATATCTAAAAAAAGGGTTGCAGAGCTTTATAAAAAAAAGAAGTTAAGATGAAAATCTGTTCACCTGACATGGGCTAGTTTAAAGTTTTAACTCCATCTCCCACTGTTGTCTCGCCCGAGTATTACTCCACACCTGCTATACAGGCAAGAAAAAAATGCAAATGGAAACAATGGAGAGACACATCCAGAAAGTTAAGAACAGATCAATTACAGAAGGAAAATATGGAAGAACCTACCATATCATCACCATCATCGATAGATACTACAACTACATCTAATATCCCATACTTTGCCATTGTAATTTGTAAATGCAGAAGCTTTCGTTGGGCAATGCATGTACTCCTTATACAACAATAAATTGGAATCTATAATACAATCAGAAGCTTTCGTTAGGCAATGCATGTATGATGCGTGATAGCGGAATCTCAAGTATCGTGGAACTCGAACTCTTCTACGAAACTAATGAAACGCGATAAAGATAGCTAAATTACTCTAATTTACTTTACTCTTATTCATTACTTAATGAAACCCAAAGAATAACGTACATATTTATAGGAAAACGTAAGAAAACCTAATAGCTAACCCTATCCCACTCTAACAAGGTAACTAATAACTTACTCAACAAGACACAATAAACTAATACGAATATCCCTAAATAATCACAATAACATGACAATTAACTAATAATAATACCTTAACGACTAAGCCCAACTCGGCACCAAGGCCCACGGTGCTATTCTCCATCAAAGTACTCCTTAAACAACAATAAATTTGAATCTATAATACAATCACAAATACCATCATGCAAAGGAAATGACAACAGGGGAAAAAAGTACTTATACTACTGTAATCAACTTTCATTCATCCATAACCAGTAAAAAGGATGAGAAAGGAAAAACGATCACAAAGCTCCTACTGCGTGGGTTATGGATGACCACTCTGTCAAAAGTCTCTACTTAGATCTATTTGGCACTAACAGACCCACTTATAAAGCCAATAGAAGCTAAAACTAAGGAGTCATTTGGAACCTTTGATTCTGGAAACAGTGTATTACGAGAATGCTACTAAAGATTATGTGTAATTGTGTATGCTAAGAATGTGTGGTTATAGAAATTCATTGTTTGGAAACCATAACAGAATTCATGGATCATAGTTTAAGTGAACTATTGATACTAAATCTCACCAAAAAGGTAAGATTCACTATACATCATTTTCTAAATATTAGGAATACATCATGTATTTTTTAATACACGAATTCTGTTATTACATCAAGTAAAAAAGCAGGATACATGTATACGGGGAATACAACGTTTAGAATAGGAGGTTCCAAACAAGGCCTAAGTATAGCATATCTTAAAGACAAAACGTCTAATGAACTTTGAAAAGATTAAAACTTTAAACAATAGGAAGAACTCAGGCACATAGTCATCAACTAAATATGTACGAATGTAGGACAGTAGAAAAGTCATGAGGATTAAGGAGGATGATTAAACTAATCTCAAATGTTATGATGAAACGGTAGACCATGTACTATAAAGATAGAGATAAGAGGGTTAGAACCTGGGGAACCGTTCCTCATAGTTAGAGACCCTCTGCTGCCAGTCTTGTTTCTCGCTCACCCTGAACCCGTCAAACATTGGTTCACCAAACCTGTAGAGCTGGAGCCTCCTCAGAGAAGAGATCAACACATCCTCTCACAGGGCAACGTCCTTCTGGGTTTCAGATGAAATGAAAGATGTATATATTAGAGGAATCCTAGTCTCAGACTGCATGTCAGCTACATTCCAAGCCTCATAAACGTAACTCGGTCATAAGTAACTACCTGATTCAAACAGATATAACCCATACAACTGAATGCTTCTTCTATAAGAAAGCATGAACATCAAAACTGGTAAAACAATAAAAAACGCATAGCGGCAACTAATTACACTGCTTAGGACGATTCAAACTAAGATAATGAAGTAGATGCTTTTGATTAAGACTGTTTAAGTATAACAATCGAAGCAAGTTTCTGTTGAAGAACCTCCATCACTGTGGGCACTCGAAGGAGAGTCTCAATAGCAGCTGTAGGATCTAATGGCGCATCATCCTAAAAGGGCCACGGTAATTATTATCTACGAGAAAGAATTCTAATCTGTTTATTCAACGTCATACCAACTGACCCACAAAGCTAAAGGCAAAACTGAGAAAGACCACCAAAGAACAAAGCAATCAATATCTAATCTTGTAGCAAAGCAGTAGATAATGCACTCTAGTCAAAAGCAGGGAAATTAATTAAAACACTACAACTTAGTCCAGGCCAATGGATTCTCATTGCAACAATGAGCCTGGAAGGTGGAAAACGGGGCAAATGCTAAACAGTTTGAATAGGAATACCCTGAGATTACCCAACTGGGAAATGATACTAGAACAAACACATTTAAAAGCTAGTAACATGGAGGCGAAACGTTGAAAAGAGGTCACTCAGTAAAAGAGTAAACGTAGCTTCAATTTGTGAGAAAGTTGATTCCTTGCAAGCACTTGGGATCGATTGCAGGGCAGGTGACAGTAACAGAAAACCAAGAAAATAGAAGTAAGGTCCATGATCAAATAGAAGTGGAAAAGCAAGGGAAATAATCAAATTAACAGTATCTTAATGAAGTTTTCGTCAACAAATCAAACAACAAATCTGAGGATCAACCGAAGGCATATCAATACACAAAACCTAATAGCATTACCAAAGGATAGAACGCACACACACTGAGAGTTCCAACCAGATGTACAAAGGTAGTACTGAATTGAGCTTGTGAAGCCAGTTACCTAGGATTTAGCAAGCAAGATGGAGGAGGGGATTGGGAGCAGGGCATCAGATTTCTGAAACTGGGATTTCGCAACGACACCCTAGGAAGGGATGCAATACCTGATATCAAGCCGATAGAGGGTGGGGTTTCTTTGAGACAGAGGTGAGATAGATTGCGAGCAAGGTTGCGGAGTTTTTGATTGTGGGATCAAACGAGTCCCCAGGAAAGGTTTATCGAGCTGGGAGGAGGCAAAGGAATGGGCGATCACCTGGCGAAGCCTGGTTACTTGAATTCAAACCATGACTAACTTAAAGAAAAACAAACATTATAACCAATCATATTAAGTACATTTGTTATATTTTTTTAAATTAAAAATATATAATAGCATAAAAAAAACCATTCCCCTATTTAAAATTTCCTGCTCCAAGAGCGTTTGTAGGAAGGGTAGAATAGAGAGTGTCAATTTTTTTTTTCCTCTGTGAAACGGGTATCTTACCGTACACATGCGGATTTAAACGGGTCCAGGAGTGTCAATTTTTTTCTTCAAGTCCTTTTATTTCTCCGTGGTAGTAAAATATATATGAAAAGGGAAAAACAATACTCCTTTTTATTGCTAAACAGAAAAAAAATTAACAATAAACTAATGCATGGATTCTAATGGGCTAACCGCTGACCATAAAATAAAAGAGTTGAATGAGCCTGACCTACACGAAATTTGCCCATCAACTAAAACAAATGAACATCATGAGTTTGGCATTCTAAAACAAGTTATTTTCTCTAGCATAATATATATTATGCTATTATTTTATATCTTTGTGGCTAAAATATAATGTATTTTAAAGTTATTCAATGGTTCAACCTCGACCAACCCAATTAGTCCAAATATGTATCATTTCAAATATATATTATGTAATTATTTGATATCATAATTATTAAATTATAGTGTATTTTATAGGGAATCATTTGGTATTTGATAGAAAAAAATAAACAGAAAGATCTATTTGGTTATTTTTAACATTAAAACGATCCTAAACATTTTCAGCTTTCTTTCGAAATTCTATAGTTTTATTCCACAATTAGTGATGTGCAAATGGCGAATTGCAGTCATCTCTTTTCTTTCATTATTTTTTATTTTCAAATATAAAGTTTAAAAGTAAAGAATAATTAGAGTTTGGCATGGGTCGGTCAAACAGGCTGAATTTCAAGTTTTGGGCTGTTTTGATCAAGTCTAATTTATAATCACATGGTTCCCTGATACCCGATAAAAATCTCAATCCAAACCAGTTTGGCAGGTGAGTCCGTGTTTACCACCATTTTCTAGGGATACAGGAACAACGATTCCTATCCCAAATCGTGTTGTTCATTCTTGATTTTTTTAGATTTTATCATGGCTTGACAAAAACCAGAAAGCACAATGACAACAAGATGAAAGTTTTATAAAGCAAATCAATCGGCCAACGGGCCAAGTAAAAGCTAGCAATGATTGTGAGATGCTCATTTCCCGAAAACCGGCGAGATAGGCGATTTTTTATTCGATTTTCTGGAATTGAGTTTCTGTAAAACCTACTCCACCTCATCATATTACCAGAAACAATATTGTTTCACAAGGTAACAGATACTTGATTTTGGTTCATAAGGCTGATTTTTTATTCGTTGCATCATTTATGTCTCTTTTCTACTAAAATTCACTATTTTTATCACGTGTTTCCCAAAAATACTATACAATAACAAATTATACACCCCCATTACATTATCAAATTTCATACATCACCTTCCTCCGGCCAACTGGCCGTGGCCACACTAGTAATTACTGATAGGACGGGATGGATCTTCACATCAGACGAGCCGCGATCCTACCACGGGGAAAGACTGGCGCCGACATGTGAGGGGGAGATTATTTTTGCGGCTTGGTTGGTCCAAGCCCTTTATGTTGGGAAAATCAGGCCCACTCAAAATAAAAATATTCTTTCTCCTCTTTAAAAAATCACATTTTCTTGAGTATCCTCTTCTCTCTCCATCATTTTGCCGATTTCCTTTCTCTCCTCTCTCCAATTTATCCCCTTTCCTCTCATGATAACGCACAAAAAAAACCCCTCTTCGTTGACGGTTGCGAGAAAGACGACGATTGCAACGAGGGCTACAAGGAAGATGTCGATGACTCAAGGAAGAAGATGACGACTCGAGGAGAAGACGTCAGTGCTTGGCGAGGATGGTAGCGGTGGTAGTTTTTTATGGTAGCGGTGCTTGAAGGAAGAAGATGTTGACGCTGGTAGCGTGAGGAATATGAATACGCTGGTTGCGAGGAGAGGGAATGTTGTTGAGGAAGACCTCTTCCTTTCTTCTGATTCATTGATTCGACTATTTGGTTTCATGGATTCGCTTTAGAGTTTCAAGGATTCAATTTGGACGATTTGGGATTCGATTTGGCCAATCTGGGATTCTATACAGACTCACCAATCTACATATCTTATGTTCTTGTCCGGGACAATGAACCCTTCAGGTTATTTCATGTAGATTTCTTCCTACAGGAGATGGGTGCCACGTGCCTGATAGGCATGCGCCTTTTTATGGATGACACACTCAATTGTCATGCACCTTCAACAACGCACACAAGAGGGAAGTTAGCCAAATCGAAGGGGCGCCTTGAGTGCGGACATTGTCCAAGTGGTTTTACGCTTTTATAGGGCGAATGGGCCCCTTTGGGGTATGAAAGTCTGACAGTGAGACAAGAATGACGAAATAATAATTCAAATCAGGAGTAATCACAAAATGCTCCTAAGTAATCGGGTGTATGAGGAGAAAAATTAACGCATGAAAGACTGAGAGAAACAAAGGGTGGAGACGCATTGGTTACAATAGAGTGCGTAATTAGACGCTTGAGGAAGCCTCTCCAGCGCCTAATTGTGGTAAAATTGTTGGGTATATTTGTAGGAAAGCGTACAAGCAAGGCCTAGATGGAAGACGCAACAAAGAGAAGGACCTGCAGAAAGTCCAGCGAACTACCCAATGGGCCATTCGCAAGGTGAGCCCATGACTAGTGCCTCCGTCAAGATGCAGAACGACAAATTCGATGACTATCCATAATAGTACGAACGACAACAAATTGGCACCATGCGCCTGATCTCCATTGAAAAGGATGACAGGTGGTCGAGGCAAATAACATTTATAAGGTACGATGCATTAAATGTGTTGCTGACCTAGGGCGGATGAAAGGTAAGCTTGTCGAAATTACCCTAGGCATAAATAGGTGGTAAGTAGTCGCATTTATTCACAGGAGAAGAGCACAAAGGAAAGGAAAGGTAAGGGAAAGAGATGATACATTGACGTTTTCCATTCCCCCAGCTATTACAAAATGATCCAAGAATCTCCCAGTAGCAGACTATGAACTAGCATCCCTTCCCTTCCCTTCCCTTACATCATGCAGCATCACCCTACTAGAGAAGCATCTGGTCAAAGTGCCACACCACTAAAGATAACAAACAATCCAAACGTAAATCAGACCAACAAAATTGATGGAGACCTAAACGAATTTAGAAAAAGGGGATTATATGTATTATGCCCTCTACTATGTATCTTTCTCAAACATGCCACTCTATTATAAATCAAGTCAAACATGCTCCTCTACTATCAAACAATTCTCAAATTTACCCCTCTGTTAGTTTTTCCATCTCAATGCCGTTAAATCTGGTTCAACCACGGTTTGTCCAGTGAAATGGGAGGGTAAAAGACATTTTAACTCTCTCTTGTTTCTATCCTTCGCCCCCATTCAAGGTTGTAAAAAAACTTTTTTTGCCCCCCCCCCCCTCTCTCTTGATCAACGATTTCGGTGATGCCCATAATGGCTCGTCCTCATTAAGCTTCTTAGGGTAAAAGATAAAATCAAATATTGCCAAATTAGAGAAATCAAATTTCAAATTTGGGATGATGGAATTGGACCTCAATTTCTCGTCAAATGGCGCCGCACACCAGCAGCCCATTTTTGCAGGGTAGATTTGGGAAGGGGAAAGAACAAACTTTCCTAAAAGAAGGTTAGGTTGGCCGGAGAGTTCGTATATATAGGCGATGTCTTTTGGATTTGGCAAGAAAGGAAATTTCAAAGCTGGGTTAGGGGAGGGTCTGGGGTAGTAGTCGTCGGCGCTTCGATGAAAGCAATAAGGGAAGGAAGGATCGGGAGAGGGGGGAGACGATGAGGCGACGGCAATGAGAAATCGAGTGGCCAAGGAGAGGAAGGACATCAGAGGATCAAGAGAATTTTTCTTTCACCAGGCTTTGAATGATGTACGTTAGAAACAAGAGAGGGTTAAAAATGACTTTTACCCTCCCATTTCATTGGTCAAACCGTGGTTGAATTAGATTTAACGACATTGAGATGGAAAAACTAACAGAGACGTACATTTGATAATTGTTTGATAGTTGAGGGGCATGTATGTGGGATGGGGCCACAAAAATGGGGTCACATTCGGCTGGTGGGATAGTTCTTTTGACTCCGGACAGGGCGATCCTTTTGGTAAAAGGCGTTCAGTTCTAGTCGACGGATGATTCTATGATTGTGGAGTTGTTGGTTCTAAGGGAGGCTATCGTGTGGTGTCTTGAGCTTGGCTTCTCGGATGTCCGATTGGAGGGGATGCTAAAGTGTTCATTGATAAAGTCAAAAAGGCGGATACTAGAGATAACAGGGTGGGGGCTGTGCTTGAAGAGATAATGTACTATGTTCATGCCCATGCTGGTTTGGCTGTTCGATTTGTAGGTCGGAGTAACAATAGGGTAGCTCACTTGGTGGCTAGAAAGGCCCTTTCTTTGTACCCGGCTATGAGTCGTCACTTTGATTTTCGGACCTGGCTTATTTCCAGGATGTAACTATCAATTTTTGCTATCAATATATGATTATCTTTTGTCAAAAAAAAAAAAAAGAAAGAAAGAGGGGCATGTTTGACTTGATTTATTATAGAGGGGCATGTTTGAAAACAAATACATAATAGAGAGGCATATTATGCATATAACCAAAAAAAAAAAAAATGAGTTAGACGTATTACCATGGCTTTTTTTATAAGGATGATATATATATATATATATATATTAATAATTAGCGAAAAAGATACAACATGTCAAAACAAGGCTGGAACAGAAGAGAAAACAAGCACATGAAAAAACAAAGAAAATACACAGGGAAGTGAAGCAAGAGCCAAAAGACTAATGGAAGGGCCAGTGAAAATGGAAGACCCCTGCTGAGACAACAAACGAAACCCCAAGGAGACATTAAAAAGTTTCGCAGGCAGGTAAAGCAAAACATCAAATACTTCATTCTCCTAACCGGGGGTTCTCCTGGCAACGTAATTGAGGACTTCACTGTCATATAAAGCAACCACCTTCAAGATCTTATCTAGATCCCGAAAAGGTTGGTTTAAGTACTAGCAAGATTTTGTAAAGTTGTGATCTTTCTTTGTCACTTTTATACTAATCATGTTTTTAGGTTGAAATCAACAATATTTCCCCAATATCTTATACTTCTTTAGATAAATTGTAAATGACACCGTTACTACGTGATAAGAGTCATAAGACCATGAAGTAAAATCCAAGAAAGCATAATAGAGAATTAGCAATTATGGGCGCACCTGTTCACCTAGAAACTCTCTTTCAACAAACTCAGCCATTTGTGGCTCATTGTTCCGAGCTGCCACTTGTTTTTCCGTGAATCAAAACCACACAACCCAATTCATGAAATCACAACATTGAGGAGCAACTTCAGACAAATAAGAACTTCAACATGAGAGATTACTTACGAAGTGCAAGTTCAATAACTTATCATTAGCAACTTTTCCAGGGAAAACGCCAGTTCCATGGCTGAATCGAGGAATCAAAATGAGAGAGAGCTCATGGTTACTTGCACAGTGTAGGCTAAGGGGAGGATTTCAATTTCAAAAGTGTTAGAAATCGAACAGAAAATTTAGGGTTACCGAATCCGGTTGAGTCGCGGACTAGGTCGCTCTCTTTAAGACGTTCGCGGCACTGCTTCGTAATGCGCACGATAGACTCATTAAATTTGCTCGGCGGTTTTGTGCGAAAAACCGGAGCTCTCTGAATCTCACTCTCTCTCGTGTTTCTGCTCTCTGAGGTGTGTTTAGAGGGTCTGGGGCGTCTCCTATTTATAGAAGCAGAAAACCCAGAATATTCCCTCTTTCTTTGGGAATAAGTCACATTTTAATTAGGGAGATAATTACTCCCATAACTAAAATATAATCTATTAAGATAATTATTCCTAATTATCTCCATAATATTCCTTTTATTAATTATCAAATACCGGAGGGATCAGTCTTTCCCATAAGGGAATCTCTAGTAATGAATCTCTCAATCAACTTTCCTCTTTACTAGCCATTGTTAGTTCTATCAATTCTGATTCCTTAGTTGATTGAGTCGGGATCATTTACTTCTTAGACTTCCAAGACACAACTCTTCTAGCAATGTTTAAAACATGCACATCAGATGTCTTGGAGTCCTCTATAGGGTATTCTCGTCCGCATCAATATACCCTACCAATACAGCAAGAGCCGTTGATAATTTATATCAAGGTCTACTTTCTCTTAAGGTGTCTCATGACCCCTTTCAATAGAATTTCAATGCTTCATAATAGGACAATCAGTAAACCTGCCAAGTACCCCCACTATGTTGGGTCTCATGTTTGTCAGCTGCCTCTCGCAGACTGTCGATGCTAGTAGTTCTTACTTTTTTACACCTTCTTTGGTGCTCTTTTAAAATTATACTAGCATCTTCACGCATTTATGCAGGCATACAACTTGTATTTCGTCTAGATCTTAACTATGTAGTTAAGCTGATCTAGAGGATATCTAATTCATTGTCATAGTTACTTGGATCTCCTAGCTTAGACAAGCTTCATCCAAATCATTCAAAATTCTCAAACATGGTTTTTCACATCATTGATATCATGAGTCTTTGTACCAAAGATCAACATGTCATTCATAGTGCACGTGTCATTCTCAAACTTGTACTAAATGCACTTGTCACTTCCATTAAAACCATGAGAGAGAACCAGTTTATTCATGTCATCATCTTAGAGTAATATTCAAATCTTACAATGATTTGTCTAACTATAGACTCCATAAGCAAGTTCAGAAATAACAACCCTATAGGTTGTCTCATGTAGATTTTCCTATCCAAATCACCATTCACAGAAACAGTTTTAACAATCCATCTGACGCACAACACTAGCAATCAGAACATACATGGATGGTATTCTACATATGGTGAATAGATAATAAGAAAATTTTACAATTTTTCCTTTTCGTCTAACACCTTAGCTACTAGGCGATCCTTATACTCATAAAGTAAACCATCAGGTTTCACTTTTCTTTTAACAATCGATTTATTACCTATGGCTTCATTGCGAGGAGGTAACTCTTATGATGCCCAATCTTGTTCGATTCTATCGATATATTACCTAAGGCTTTATAGCCAAGAGGTAATTCTACAAGATTCTAAGTTTTACCAACCTCCAAACAATCCATTTTGTTAATAATGAATTATCCCACAATTTTGCATCTTCATGGAAGTTCAAACTTCTAGCAGACTTGTAGGATCTTTCTTTCTTAGGGTGTAAATAACTAATTCATAACCAAAATACTTTAACGATTTATGGTTCGTTTGCTTCTTCTGAGTTCAACTCAGATTCATCACCCCCACTAGTTTCATTAACTCTAATAGTAGGAGGGATTCTACCCCCACTATTTCTTAAATGAATGTCAATTGACATCATTGCACTGATCTCAAACTATATCATTCACATGTCAAAAAGCATCACATATAAATCAGTGCAGTGTGATAAATAATTTCATACCACTCAAAATTGACATCTCATTGTATTCACCCATATCACAAAGAAATTATGATTCTCTAATAAGGTATTTATGGGTCTTTTATCATGTATAAGGAAATTTCATTTCTATCATAGTCACTATGGAAATGTGACTTAGCAATTCAATTCTTCATCAAATACGTGCATATCATACACATGTGAATTCATCACATTAACATTAAACAAATATCACCACATGCATACTCTCATGACCATCACAATAGTGAAGTGAGCAGTACTCAACAACACTTTCATAACCTTTATCCCACAACCATTCTTCAAAGTTGCCATTAAGGTTAACCTCTGTTATCATCTCAATGATTACTACCAAATCCTCTTCTTTAATCAAGTTAACACCAATACTAGGTTAAACTTGTTCTTAGACTTTCGTGTCATATGACCTAGTTTCCCTCAACCTTACTAGGGAAACATAATGTCATTCTTATAGGATTGGGTGACAATATTTTGGTTATCACAAAGGGTATCATTCTAATTGATGAGGATTTGATTCAACTTGCTATTCTGATTCTTTAACCAATACTTCTCCCAGAATAAATATGGGTATACAACCCATTCCACTAGCATATTCACCACAACAAATAAACTCATATATGCTTTAAAGTATGCATTCATGTGTTAAAATTATTCTACTCCTCAATATGCACATAAACTCGTATTCTAATCATTGTGAAAACCATATCTCAATGTCACCATTATCATGCATAAAATCCATTTTTCTTGTCTAGCATTCATAGGGAATCTCAATTTCATGCTTAGAATCATATGAACAAAATTCTTATTTGTCATTCATTAATAACTCACGAGAAATGTTTAAACTCTTACCTCTTTTTTCGAAAAGTAATTTCCTTCTGATTTTGTCACGAATAGTTAGCTTGTAGTTTAACTTCCAATTGATAATCCCTTGTCCGAGAGCATCTTCCCACTCCCACGGCCTGGAACCCACTTGGGCCTGCACAATACCATAAAGGGAAGCAATCCACTTTGCTTTTGCTGGTGGCTAGTTGGCGGAGCAATTAATTGGACCGGGGCACAATTAATCCAAAACAAAACAAAAACTCTTCCCGAGTGCAGGACCAGCGGTGTAAATTCGCTAGCAGACAAAAATCCAAAACATATATAGCAAATCATTAGTGATATATGCG